ATTGAAGTTTTTTCTGAGAAACTCGAAATAAAAATGAAGCGATTTGAGCAGCACCTCCAATGTGGCTGCATTTATGTGGAATTTTTCTAGAAGCTGAGCAGTTTTTTTGAGAGTAACGTTTTGATCTCAAAACGATCATCATCTGCCATTTTGTATCAGTAAATACAAAAAAAAACACGGTACAAGTATATTCAAACCAAAGAATTGGCAAAACTGACCAAAAAATCAATGATCTAAAAAGATTCTATCAATTATCATTAACAATATAATGATGCTGTTTCCGTAATTTTGTCAAAACATTGCACAACCTCAAAATCGTATAGACAGTGTTTGGATGAACAGTTGAAATTGGATATACACTTTGATAGTAGCATTCTTGATTATATTCAAGTCAGTAGCCTACTAAGATGAGCTGGAAATTGAGGTAGACACTGGAGTTGGGCTTATCATGGGTGTTGAATAATTTGAAAAGCCCATATAGAACGCGAACGGGAGTTTGGAATTAGAACTTTTGAATTGAAAAGACTCTGAGCAAGCTTCCAACAACGCATATTTCGTGATGAGGAAGGGATGTTTTTTGATTCAGAAGATTTTGTAACTATAAATTGGAACGTTGGCTAGAGCTGCAGCGATGTTCGCCCGCGGCCCTTTCATGACCGGGAACATCGCTTAATTCACCCCAGGTTTACATACGGGCCCAAAAGATCTAAAGGGAATGAAATGTCAAGGTAGTTCGTAGGGACAGTCGATGAGGAGAGCAGGGCCCCGGGTGAAAAGAGTCAGGAGGAATGTACACAGCTGTATCTGGGAAAAGCTTGCCGAGTTTGTGACGTGACGGCCACTTTGTCAAAAAATTTCTGAATGTGAGAATTTGAGGGTATCCGAGGATTTTCACAAAATGTGTGAATGAGCCACTTTGGCAGCTACAGTTTGTCGAAAGGTGATCACGCTAAAACGTTGCCTCAAAACCGCACGAAAACGCTAAGGGCTTGCGCTGCATTTCCTTGCAGGGGAGTTTAAAGAAAAGGTGGGAACAGACAGGTCCCAACTAACCACTATTAGCAAACAGCAGACATGACGGAAAATCTTGGCGTGCGCGGCACAACATGCCAATTTTGGCCTGATTCGGGGGACTGTAAAGGCGCAGTTCGCATTTTCTCAACAGCAGCACATCTGGGGCAAGATTCGAAAGCGATTAAGTAAGATCTAAAGGATGTGGAATGGCAGAAAAGATTGGTAGTTCGGGAGTTTCATGAAGGAAATTGGATGAAAAAGAATGGGAGGAGAGGGGGATGCAGTTTGGCTCAAAGAACTCAGGAGACAGCAATACGCAAGTTTGCAAAGCGCAAGAGCACACCTACCTGGAAAGCTGGGAGGAAGCGGTTGAAATTCTGTTGGCACTTTTGTTAATAGAACTTAGGAAACCACATAAAGCAAAAAAGATCCTCACAATTAACTTTGATAATTTCTGGGTTTTTAAATGTCTGAAAAATCCGTGCCATACTTTTGAAGAAAAGGTTCCCAAGTTCTGTCTTTGACAGTCAATCTCACTACACACACATAGCCAGTCCAAAGCGCCGCGAAGCGGCGCTTTGGACTGGTCCTATATATAAAGCTGAATGTCTGTTTGTCTGTCTGTCTGTCTGTCTGTCTGTCTGTCTGTCTGTCTGTCTGTCTGTCTGTCTGTCTGTCTGTCTGTCTGTCTGTCTGTCTGTCTGTCTGTCTGTCTGTCTGTCTGTCTGTCTGTCTGTCTGTCTGTCTGTCTGTCTGTCTGTCTGTCTGTCTGTCTGTCTGTCTGTCTGTCTGTCTGTCTGTCTGTCTGTCTGTCTGTCTGTCTGTCTGTCTGTCTGTCTGTCTGTCTGTCTGTCTGTCTGTCTGTCTGTCTGTCTGTCTGTCTGTCTGTCTGTCTGTCTGTCTGTCTGTCTGTCTGTCTGTCTGTCTGTCTGTCTGTCTGTCTGTCTGTCTGTCTGTCTGTCTGTCTGTCTGTCTGTCTGTCTGTCTGTCTGTCTGTCTGTCTGTCTGTCTGTCTGTCTGTCTGTCTGTCTGTCTGTCTGTCTGTCTGTCTGTCTGTCTGTCTGTCTGTCTGTCTGTCTGTCTGTCTGTCTGTCTGTCTGTCTGTCTGTCTGTCTGTCTGTCTGTCTGTCTGTCTGTCTGTCTGTCTGTCTGTCTGTCTGTCTGTCTGTCTGTCTGTCTGTCTGTCTGTCTGTCTGTCTGTCTGTCTGTCTGTCTGTCTGTCTGTCTGTCTGTCTGTCTGTCTGTCTGTCTGTCTGTCTGTCTGTCTGTCTGTCTGTCTGTCTGTCTGTCTGTCTGTCTGTCTGTCTGTCTGTCTGTCTGTCTGTCTGTCTGTCTGTCTGTCTGTCTGTCTGTCTGTCTGTCTGTCTGTCTGTCTGTCTGTCTGTCTGTCTGTCTGTCTGTCTGTCTGTCTGTCTGTCTGTCTGTCTGTCTGTCTGTCTGTCTGTCTGTCTGTCTGTCTGTCTGTCTGTCTGTCTGTCTGTCTGTCTGTCTGTCTGTCTGTCTGTCTGTCTGTCTGTCTGTCTGTCTGTCTGTCTGTCTGTCTGTCTGTCTGTCTGTCTGTCTGTCTGTCTGTCTGTCTGTCTGTCTGTCTGTCTGTCTGTCTGTCTGTCTGTCTGTCTGTACGTATGTTCCGAATAGAAAATTCCATTTCTGAACCGATCGGAACCAAACTTGGCACACATACACTTCGGGCCCCGGCGGGTGTCATAGGCTACTTTTCCTATCGATCGATATCGATTTTATCGATTTTTTGCAAAATTTGAGCTACGGGGCTGGGATTTGGCACAGGGGGGTAATCGAGCATGCTGATCACCCCCGTGGGGGTGATCAGCATGCTCGATTACACCCCCCTGCCAAATTCCAGTCCCTAGCTCGAATTTTGCAAAAAAATCGATAAAATCGATAAAAGTAATGCACGGTTTCGAAAACTAATAATGTATTCGTAATCAGCATGCTCGATTACCCCCTGTGCCAAATCCCAGCCCCCTAGCTCAAATTTTGCAAAAAATCGATAAAATCGACATCAGTCGATAACGAAAAGTGGACTGTGACACCCGCCGGGGCCCGAAGTGTATGTGTGCCAAGTTTGGTTCGGATCGGTTAAGAAATGGAATTTTCTATTCGGAACATACGGCGGAGCCGGGTATGCCAGCTAGTTCCATATAAAACCTCATTTGCTTCTATTTATTGAAAAATATGTACATAACATATTGTATTTACGGTGTATTAGGTTGTCCGGAAATTAATGCCCGCTTTGAATTTCAACAGCAATAAGTCTTACACTTATCATTTCTATAGATAGTATGCAAAGTATCATTCGATAGAGCAAAGCAATCTCTACAAGATGGCTCTCTTGCTTTTGCAACAACTCTTATCCACTTCAAGTATCAAACCTAAAACTAAAAAGACCCAGGAACCCGAAAAATCGAAAAAAATCGTAACTCAGTTCAAAAAGATCCTACAAAAATTCTTACTTGCTCACGTAAACACAATCCGCATAAGACATCTATAAATGCCTTTGCCGTATTTTTCCCCTATTAGAAACCAAGAAAACGGAAATTTTCGTGCATTTTTGCCAAAGTGATGATGTGCCATACCCACATACATAGTTGTATACCACAAGCCTGTAGAAGTACAGACTCAAATTTTCAGCTCTTTATAAGCTTTATCTCGAGAAATACCGAATATAACTTTCCCTAGTTAGGTGGTCCAAACTGAAATTCATTTTTCTCGAGAACTAAAGCTTGTAGAGAGCTGAGAATTTACGTTTGTACTTCTACAGGTTTGTAGTATACAACTACCTGCGTGAGGACGACACAGCATCACTTTGGCAAATGCACGAAAATTTCCGTTTTCTTGATTTCTAACAGAGGAAAAAATACGGCAAAGGCGTATATAGATGTTTCATGCCTGTAGTGTTTACGTAAGCAGAAAAGAATTTTTGTAGGATTTTTGTGAACTGAGTTACGATTTCTTTTCGATTTTTTGAGCTGCTGAGCCTTTTTAGGTTTTGGCTCGAAACTCGAAGTGGATAAGAGCTGTTGCAAAAGCAAGATGGCCATCTTGTAGAGCTTGCTTTGCTCTATCGAATGGTACTTTGCATACTATCTAGAAGTGAGGAATGTATGACTTATCGCGGTTAAAATTCAAAACGGGCATTAATTTCCGGACAACCTAATATTATGGAGTCTGACGGTAACGAATACCGTGCACCGCATCTCCATCATATGTTTCATTTCGAACACTAAAGTTGTTTCAAATGAGCTGCGCCCACACCAGCGGCGAGGTCCATTTAGAGGGAGAAGGGGGGGGGGGAATAAACATTTTTTTTGATTTCATAATCACAAAACTTATATGCAATTCTGCACAAAATGTAAAATAGTAAATAGCGATAGAGGAAAGGGGAGGTCGCAATGTTTGTTTCGCGTTTACACCTATACAGGTTATGCGCAGTAATAAAGGTCGTCAGAAGGGATAAGTGAGTGTCGAAGCGAAGCTGAGAAAAAATTTGTACTAGAAATGGGTTGGGAGACACATAGCCATTAAAAAAGCGAAAACATAACAGCCGCTAACAATGCCTAAACAAAAGAATGCTGCGCTAATGAATCGGGAGTTCTGAAAAAACAAAACAGCATTACCAAATCAAAAACATGGAAATAATGAGTTTGATCATTTCTTAATTTTCACGGTTTCAAAAGGTCTCTTTCTATCTTCTATAACCAAGTCTGATGGACAAAAGCAAATCTAAGACAGTGTGCAAGTTGCATGGCTATGGATGCTAACTTGATTTATTGCAGGAAAGCATTAAAAAACGCAAACTCTCGCAACAATCCAAGCTAAGCGGTGAAAAGTATGGTAAGCAACTGTTTACAGCTCAAAAGAGATGCTACTACATTTGTTGCAGGTGTTTCAAATCATGTTTCTGATGAGCGGGTACATAGAACTACGTACAATCTCTCTGCGAGTTTTGCTGATTTATTTTTCAGAGACGAAGAGAGCAGGACGCGGAAAAATTTGAAATGATAAAGAATCCCCGTCCTGCTAGGGCTCACTTTCGTAGCCGTAAACTCAAGTATCCATGAATTTAACGCATGCCATTCTGTATCGAAATGCGAACAGATTTCAGATGGAAGGATGGTGATAAAACCGAAGAAACCATAGATGAGAGTTTGTGCTCCAAGATTCTGTATTCACCAATGGTTGTCATTTCGCTGTTCGTTCTTGCACTATTCATCCTTTACTACCTGTACAGAAAACTACTGTATCGTACTAAAGCTTAATAAATGCTCTCTATTGGTAATAAAATAAATGCTGACACGATAAGTTCAACGAGAGCCATGTAACAACTATTATTTTTGTTTCGAGTAGAGCAAAAGAAGCCTTTCGCGTCAGCTGAAATAAATTACACCCAATATGCATTCAGTATGCAGCGGATTTGCATACTCAAGGCTACTGCCCATGAAGGCGTAGGGTAGGGGAAGCGCACGCGGTTTTCAGCCGCATGCGAATGAAGCGCAGGTCTATAGAGGTGAGGATAGGCGCGCCGCGTTCGCCCCCGCACTAAGGCCCTGGGCATACCTCACGCGATTTCAGTCGCGACGCGATTTGGCATACTCCAACTGTGCATAACTCATAGTAAGAAGTTTTAAATATACGAAATGTCGGGCTTATCAAACTACAGAAGTTATACATGCATGCATTTGGGGTCTGCCAGTATTGGATATGATTACATCTGGCAAATTGCCAGATCGCGTGCACTGAAATCGCATGAAGTATGCCCACGGCCTAACATTGCTTATGCGCCTTTCTCCTGCAGTAGTCTTTACTGGCAAACTTTGTGCCAGTTGGGGCTGTTTGATTCATGCTCATGGCCCATAAATGCTACAACAAAAGAAGGCAATCAACGCTTATTCGCATGTTGTCGCTGCACCTTTAAATTCATTCTGTCAATGCGATAGTAAGGATCTACTGTCATACGAAAGCAGCCACAATGGAGCTAACGCAGCATTCAGAGTTGTCATTGTGCAAGAACCGCCCCAGCGCTGTATCCTAGTCCACGCGGAGGCGCTCTGTATTGATGGAAAGACGTGCCAACAGGCACTGGAACGCCGCTGGCACGGGCAACTCTAGTAAATAGGACGCTTTCTAACTATGCAGACGAGTCCATACAATTATGCAGAGGGGCCCATAAAAGATGAAAAAGCTATGTGACAGGAGTACGAAATAACAACCATTGCGAAAAAATAGGAGTACTAAGTAGCTGACATCGTTTTACTGTCAAATGGAGCATGACGATGATCAACCGCTCTGAACTCGCTCTAGTATTTAGAATGGTTTTCGCAATGGCTGAATCATAAATACTCTGATAAGATACCCATCTGTATAAAAAGGTGCATTCGTTGTACTTACATTCTTATTATAACTGCAGCAATCTGGATCACTCTTCCACTACAAGAACGGAGTACAATTGGATACAATCGAAGCCGACTGGAAAGGAAACGAATACCCTGGATAGAAAGCAAGATCGGACAGCTATCTTTAGCCGAGGAAGTCATGGGAGAGGAAGACAAGACTGAATTTTTCCCGATAGGCGCAAAGGTGTTCAATGACAAATGAATGAGATTGATATTCTTTCCGTAAACTTCTCAGTTACAGAAGTGCCCATCGGAAATACTCCCTTTAAAGCACTGTTATCCGATGATCGGAGTGTATGGTTTCCATTGCTGCGGTTTGACAAGAACTGACTGTTGTCCATATATAAGTGTGAGTCACACTAACAATTCAGGAATGATATCCACGAAAGTCCATAATGGAGGAAAATGGACTTTCAAGCCCCATTTTATTCGTTTGCGGTGAAGAGTGGTCGGAATCTGCTATCGCTCGCGTTGTCCAAAAATTTTCATATCATCGCAACCACGAGGCAATGCAGTGAAATGAAAATGATTCAACCCTACCTGAGCTCTCGCTTGCGAAAGATGACGTCAAAAGTCCATTTGGAATGGAGCAAAATGGGATTTACCTCCATTTTAAATGGACTTGAAAGCCCATTTTAGTCCCAGCAGCAAGGTGAGCTGGGACTAAGTCCATTTTTGACCTTTTTGCATATTTTGGTTGCGATTTTTTGAGAATGTGTTCCTTAGCCTATTTTGAGATAATAAGAGAGTGGAAAAAGTTTCATGTTTTTTATGAAGTCTGAGATACGTGTTTCTTTCTAAATTCATACAATCTTTATAAAAATCATGGAAGAAGGATAAATTTACCAAAATGTTTATTAACAACGTCAATTGCTTCCATATATCAGGTCGCTGCGAAAATTCCTATGCAAATCTAATAAAGTTTATTGACTCTCCAAATCTCAACCAAAACTCAATTTATGACTTGTGTTTGAAAATAAAGAAGATTTTCTTTTCAATATAATTACTTAGAAGCTACTTTTGACTAATCTCGTAGAACCAACTTAAAAGACGGCATTTAAAACGTGATTTTGAGTTTGGTTGCAAGAATTAATGAAGTGCCGCTAGCTAGCAAGAATAATTGTGAAAAATTTCTTCAGCAATAGTCCGTACGTTTAACTAATTACGGATATAAACATTAGTGCTGAAAGACAAAGAAGAGCTGAAGTAGTACATTTGCGAAGTCATCTTTCAAAGTCGTAGTTTTTCCAATTTAAAAAACTCTTTGGGTTGTAGTGTAGTAGAAATTTCCTATAAGATAAGCATTTTAATTCACAGGTTGCAGTGCAAGTCCAGCCAAAGTTTGCTTTCTGCAGAAAGCTCTGCACGAATTTGTTTCAGTGCAGATTCATAGAAGTCTTGAAAAGCGAAGGCCGGGATTTTACGTGAATTTTAGTTCTGGGAGTAATTTAGATGCATAGTCATCAATGATAAATGGCATTTTAAGGGTGTAACGAAGTGGGAGGGAAAAGAATATCAACGTAACTGATATTGTAATGTTAGGTCAGCCTAGTCAGATATCGACCACTTGATGGAAATGAGTTTGGAAGAGTGAGCAAACAGGTTGAGACAAGTTGGAGAAAGGTTTGCTGAAGAAGTTTTGTATGGAATGAATGGATTCGCGAATGCGATATCTTATCGCACCGCATGGACTAAGTCCATTTTATTCGCACGAAAAGCCCATTTCGCGGGGACTTTCGTGGATATCATTCCATCATTCACAAAATTTAGATTGCTCAAAAATCACAGGACTTTTCCTCTAAATACTGACATTTCAGATTTTCAGCTGGATCTGCATCATTGTGTTAAGTCTTATTATTATCTTTTGGATCTACGCGAAATGCTGCAAACCGCCATCTTGATTTTCTGAGCCATATTAAAAAGAAACCGATTACATATGTTCGCCTCCACATGACTACAATGAGCGTTGTAAATCAATAAAGATTTTAATGTTAGACCCAGAGAACCAAGAAAAAAAACTAAATCCGCTACGGAGTAGAGCTGAGTTGCCGCATGATTGCAACTACATGGTACATCTCGAAATTCACGATAATGAAATAGCGTACATACTTTTTCAATTATTGAAAGGTGAAACTCTGGTAAGGCCCCGGATAGACTTCACGCGATTTGATGGTCGCGATTCAATGCCGCGGTTTTCATTCATTTCCATTTTACCTTCAAAAATTTCGGGCTTGAAAAGTATCACAACCGAATGCAAGTTGATTGGCATGAATGATGTTGTAACAGTTGTATTGTCGCGATTCAATTGCGACGATCAAATCGCGTGAAGTCTGTCCGGGCCTAAGACATTGATACTTATTGATCTTGTAAAATCATTCACTCCAAATGTAGAGAATTGAATAAGTAAAGAAAGGAAAAGAAACTGGGAATTCTTCACAGACATGGCACCAAAGTATCCAAAACTCAAAACATGACTCCTTCTCTTTGTATTGTTTTGGAGCAAGAACTATAAGAACAGGTTTCTGCGATCAAGCAACCTAAGCTTGCCCTTCCTTCTCTTTCGCTTCAACCGAACGCGTAGCAGAATTAGGTGTAAGCTGTGAGATTCTTCTCACCAATCCTACACTTCTAAACGGCAAAATCAGAGGCCTACGAAAATTACAAACTTCACGAAGCGAAGACTGGAATCACAGGGCGAAATTACCAAAGCAGGATACATGCACTGCAATTCCCCTCTGTGCTCTATGCCACGACTGCAAATGATTTCCAAAATCACGATATAAAGGGTGGTCACATGAAATGCGACGCTAAAAATATCTATAACTTTTCTAGATAACGAAATCAAAAGCTTCTGTCTACTTATAAACAAGAAGATTCTGTATAGGATCTTACAGGTTACTCTCAAGATGCTCGCCTGTGTAGGTGAAAAAAGTTGTTCTTTTAAGAAGAAAATTTCACGATGCGCGCAATGGTTTCCGGCGGAATTTCGTCCGAAGTTTCACCAAGCCTTCTAGCAAATCAAGTGATAGAGGTTGGAAAGAGCAGGTTTTTGCTTCCAGATAGATCTGAAAAAGAATCGCTGAGACCGGGTGAGTTGGAAGGCTAGACATATTGGTTCAAATGAGCTCCATATAAAACTTGGAGAAGTCGAATGCGAAAGCTACGAAAAATCCATTTATAGCCAATTTCATGTCATATTTCAATGATAATCGTCTTCTTATTACCTTGTCCCACTATGATCAATTCTGACTTCAATTCTCGTTACATTTGGTCTAGCTCAAAGTTTTATTAACCACAGCCGCTGTGAACTGAAAAACGGATTTCAAGACTGAGAAAAGCATTGGAAGAAACCTTTGAAAGGATGCGGTACTTTCTTGCCCCGTATGCTAGTATTACGGGAGACGGTCAAGAGGGGGCCTATAACGGTGAAAAATGCGAGCACCGCGTTCGTTTCCATTCAACTGATACTGCTTCTGCGCCTTTGTCCAGCAGTAGCCTTTGATGCCAAATCCAGTGCCGTTAGGCCCCGGACAGACTTCACGCGACTTAATCGTCGCGATCTAATCGCCAAGATTTCCATTCATTTTCATTTCACATTCAAAAATTTCGGGCTGGAAAAGTATCACAACCGAATGCAAATTGATCGGCATGGAATGATATTGTAACAGTAGTCTTGTCGCGATTCAGTTGCGACGATCAAATCGCGTGAAGTCTGCCCGGGGCCTTAGAATTATTCGAAGTATGCTGAGTCCAAGTGATAAAGGAGAAGGTAATCTGCACTTCCTCCCCACCTTGCTGCTCTTTCTGTTATATGCTGTGAAGACAGTAATAACGTATATTGCCAGCCAGAGCAGATTTCAAGGAGCCAATGCAAAGTCCACAATGCCGCGTGGTGACGATGGCCGGTGCCGTGTCATACATAACTCCCGTGAAAGCGTCTCGTTCTGATGGAATGACGTTTTGAAAAGGCGTTTGCACGGCGAAGGCACATACAACTGTAGAAGCAATCTAAGCGAGTGCGAACAGAGTTCTAGTTCTTCTGAGTTCTGCGTTTCGACATTTGCTGAGCCAACTTGATGTGAAAAAGTAGCGCAAGATTCAGGGGTAGCCGAGTGGCTCAGCGATAAGACACTTTCTTTTTCGCTTTTTGACAATGCAATGCATATGGTCCATTCCAGCAACAGACAAACCAGCTGAGAGGAGTACAAAGGAAAAACACTGCCTAAGAATGTTTTGAAGAGCAGTAAGCAGGTGGGTACGGTAAACGACAATCTTCCACTGTCGTAATGCGCTTCATGATAACCAATCGCTCAGACAGTGATACTCCCTCTAGTAGTCTGGTCTTAGCAATGGCTGATTCGTAAATATAAGATACCAAGCTGTATAAAAAAGGTGAAATCGGTGTCGTCGCATTCTTAGTATAACTGCAGCATTCTGAACAAGCCCTTCCACTGCCAAACCGGAGTCAACTATCTGATCGAAGCCAACTTGAGGAGAACGAATACCCTGCACTGAAAAGGGCCGGGCATGCTTCATGCGACTTCAGTCGCGACGCGATTTGGCAATTCGCCAGAAATCTTCAGATTCAACACTAGCAAACTGTACAGTTGTTTTCGATACGTATTGGTTTTTTCTACCGTAAGCCTTCCAGCCTTAACATGACGGGGATTGGTGTGGATTGGTGTGAATTGGTGCGGCGCCGCCGAGAAAAGCAACGCGGCAAACCCGAAGCGATGCGGCGCCTCACCAATCCATACCAATTCACACCAATCTACATCATGTTGAGGCTGGAAGGCATACGGTAGAAAAAACCAATATGTATTGAAAACGACTGTATCATCTATTCTACGACTAGGAGACGCGTGACCGCATTGCGGACATTGTCTTAACATGTTTGAGTTTGCCCTGTTTCCAGAGAGTGCACAAACGTGGGCGTGATAAATGACAAGTATAAACCTACTAAATACATGATTAATCTTGTTTAGACAATGTGTGCAAAGCGGTCTCGCGTCTCCTAGTCCTAGAATGAATGATACATGCATAGTGTGTACAATTTACGTGGGTTAATGAAACGCTCTACCTTATCTACATTTAGAATGTGCTTACAATGAGTTGTGCACAGCTGGAATATTGCTAAATCGCGTCGCGACTGAAATCGCGTGAAGTACGCCTGGCCCTAAAGAAAGATGGAAGTCCTATCAATAGACAACTGAAATTTTTTGCTGAATCCATATCGTTTGGATCTACGCGAACCGGCAGAACACAATATCAATTTCTTGAGCATCTATTGAAAACAAATCGTGTACATATGTTCACCTCCACATTACTGATGAGCAATGTTGATTAATAAAGTTCTAATCGATGAGCGAGCAGCCTTAAAGGACTCACAAGGGAAGTCACTTAACTTAGGTCGGCCTTTTGAATGAAACATATATATTTACTCGGAACGCTGATTCCAAATATGCTGTCCTTAGCTGCGAAGCATTTCTCTGAAGAGAGTTATGAGCTTTTTAGCATGCGTCATTGACAAACAACTGAATATGGAAGAAAAAGGCTTATAGACAGAATCTGCTCGAAAAAATGGTGGAAAATCGAAATAACATCAAAACGAGTCAGTTGGCTTTGATAGGATGTATTATGCATTTGACCCACCACCTAGATGATGATATCGTGGCCTCCGTAAGGCGGTCAACACGCAAGCTTTGTTCAGGAAAAAGCTCATAACTCGTTTTAGAGAAACGCTTCGCAGCTGCGATTATTTGCCAGCTCACAATCAACACTCAACTGACAGGGAAAGTCACCTAACTTAGGTCGCCCTTTTGAAATGAAACATATATTTAGAATGAGCTCGGAGCGCTGAGTCTAAATATATGCGTTTCATTTCTAAAGGGCGACCTAAGTCGGGTGACTTTCCCTGTCAGTTGAGTGTTAAGTGTGAGCTGGCAAATAATCGCACCGTAGTACATTTCAAAACTCACATCACTAACTGAAATGCATGCATCCCTTTTGGTTATTGAAGGGATGTGTTCCGATAAGATAGTGAAACTAGTTCATGGATTTGTGTAGTGATTCATATCAAATGAGTCCAAAATGTTCGCTGAACCGAAAGCATCTGTTCCATATTTTTACGTGGGGGTCCATCAAACGGGCGGTGGGTCCCAACGTAGTAACATGCAAGACAATGCAAATGATCCTCTGAATATAATAAAGGTGGTTTGTAGGTGAATATCTCAGCCACGAGAATACCATGTACGCTGCCACTTGTGTAGTGCCTCAGTTAAGCTCGTAATCAATCTACATGAGTCCAGTTATCCAGATTTGTCTGGACGCCGCCTTGAATAAAATTCGGAGTGCAAAAGATCCGCGAAGCTCGCGCATAGATTCATAGCAGATGTTTCGCCTTTTGCGCCGTGAGATATTTCTCTTCAACTTTCTACCACTCAAGTTCAAAATCAGAGGATTACATTGATAATGACTTCAGAAAGGTTAAGATTGATCTCAGGGCCAAAACAGCACAACTAGGAAGCCGGCTTAATGGAGGAAGCCAAAACGATTAATTCTCCTGCCTTTAAGCAAGCTGGAGAAGAACTCGGTGATTTCAGTTGGTTGTGTACAAAAAAAAAACATAAAGGAGGGTTTACCCTAACAAATGCGCGTGGACATCAGCGCAAATTTGGCAAGAAAAGGAACAGATCAACGATTATCTGGACAATCCATTCACAAAAAGAAAATCAGCACTTTGACATACTGACACTTAAAATCTACAAAAAATTGTTTAAACATAGTTCTCCATAATCAGCAACGAACGCAAGATGAATTATTATGACATAAATAGTTCACGTCTCTTGTTAAATACCATAACCCAAGGTAACACAACTAGTCGTCCAATTTCAGTTTGACGACTTATCACGCTTTTTTGGCTTAGAATAGCCAATCAAACGGCCTGTGTTCCTGATCCCAGGAACCCCTTCCCCGCGCCATGTCTTGTATCGTATCATACTCGCCATATGTTATCGCATAATACCCTTTGTGGCCTGACTCGGGCCAAACCCGAGGACGGCATTCTCGTCTTGTGTTGGTCCGGCACCCAGCCGGGCCTTTATGTTGAAGAATAACGATAAAGATTTAAAAATTCCACTGAACCATCTTGTAGCCACCACAAATTGGTGCATCGACTAAAAGAAATAGCCGATACAAGTCCAGGCCACCCTAACCTGGCAAAAAAAGTCCAGCAAGCCCCCGCTGGCACACAAGTCCAGGGCAACCCATCCTGGCAAAAAATAGTCCAGCAAACCCCGCTGGCCCCCAGGTCCAGGACCCTCTTCTGGAACACCAAAAAATAAGCAAATCACCAGCGCAAAGACAGAAAAATGGCGCTATTTTTCTTCAAAAGACCAATTGCACAAAGTGCAAAAACTTTGCAAATGCTACTGCAAAAATTCGCACCATACAAAGAGGAACTAACCCTTCAAGAATCAGACGATGAAAACTACGAGACGTGCCTAGGATCGATAAACCTGATAACCGGCAGCATACAATCTATCCAACAAAGTAGAGATGCCCTTCAAGTCCTCCTCGACAGACTTCAAAACAAGTGGGAGGACAGCAAGACAAGACTAAGTAAAAAAGAAATGGAAAAAGAACCCCTTCCCCGCGCCATGTCTTGTATCGTATCATACTCGCCATATGTTATCGCATAATACCCTTTGTGGCCTGACTCGGGCCAAACCCGAGGACGGCATTCTGGTCTTGTGTTGGTCCGACACCCAGCCGGCCTTTATGTTGAAGAATAACGATAAAGATTTGAAAATTCCACTGAACCATCTTGTAGCCACCACAAATTCCTGATCCCAGGAACCCCTTCCCCGCGCCATGTCTTGTATCGTATCATACTCGCCATATGTTATCGCATAATACCCTTTGTGGCCTGACTCGGGCCAAACCCGAGGACGGCATTCTCGTCTTGTGTTGGTCCGGCACCCAGCCGGCCTTTATGTTGAAGAATAACGATAAAGATTTAAAAATTCCACTGAACCATCTTGTAGCCACCACAGCCTGGTTGATTTTTGTTATCTCTTCCTAACCAACTGTGCACCTACTAAGAAAAACCATCTTGTCTTGATTTTTGCACTGCAAAGTTTTCCATATTCACACTGAAATCCCTGCACTAATTATCTTCAAAGAGAAAGTCAAGCATTTTCAGATGAAGAGTGGACAGGACAAAAACTAACGAAAATTCCGAGACTAACCTTTTTCGAAGATTCGGCGTATCTTCACTTCCTTGCCCTTCTTTTTCTTCATGATCATGTTTGCCATAGAAACCTCATACTGCTCAAGAGGCTAGAAGGAGAAAAGTTGCAATGAGTAGAAGGAAAAAATTATCCATTTACTTGGTAACCATCTTTAGGTTCCAGAAGATGTTCCTGATACTTTTCCTCCAAAGCTTGCATAATTTTCACTGCAAATGGTTTAAATCGTCCTTTCTTCACTTCCTCTTCCCAAAGGATGTCCGAAGAAGATATGCCAATATACAGCAACTACAATTTTGCGTATTAAGAGATGCAGTAATCGTGAGCAAAGCAAGTCTCACCTCTTTTCCCACGGTGTTGTCCACGATTGATAAACCAACACCTTGTAAGGCCACCTCTGCTTGCATATCAACTTTGTCGGTTTCCCAAACTCCATAAGCTGAGCGTGCAATGTCCAAGTCGCGAGTGAACAGTAGGAAACGTTGCCTTCCGATGAGGAAGTTGGCAAGGTATGCAAACCTAGAACTGAAGCGCCATTGAAAAAACAAAGATTGTGTTAAGCAATCATCTCACTTTCTGACATTATGGTCCATCTGGACGTCGGCGATGCGATTTTGATCCAGCTTGTCTTCACCTTCGTAATCGCCAATAGTGAACTAAACATCTACAACTTTCAGAAAACAAGGAAAACCATCTTAGTGAGCGATATTGGCTCAATCGCCGCGATTCCTTGTTAGTCATTCCCGAAAAAGGATTTCAAAAAAAAAACTTCTCTCCAATCTCCTCTTACGCAGCCGTTTTCTAATTTAGGAATTCCCTTTTAATGATATCTTTTCGTCTTTTACTGTCTCTTTCCCGCCTATTGTATGTTGGTCAGGATTGCCTCACATTCTTGCATAAAACAATGCCATATTCAAGTGAGCCTAAGTGCATCTTTACAAACGAGGATATACGCATTCTGATAACAACAATGAATGGAAACTGAATCGAGTTCCTTTCGAAGATTCCAAACAAGTCCAAATAAGAGAGCAAAAGCCACGCTACGCTATATCTTTCGCACTGACAGTTGTGAAAGTTCAATATCAGAGCGAGGAAAGCATCACAGAAATTTTTATAGACTAATTTTCACGACACTTTCATAACTTTGTATTAGCATTTACGGTTAACGACCATACACAAAGAGTTTTTTTGCTCATACTTCATTGGATTACGAGAATTTCTTATTCGCTGATCGAATGTCTCGAACGACTAGCCCTCCACTAACAGTATGATTCAAATGATACACCTGAAGTGTAACGATAAAGATGAGGAGTTATGTCACCTCATATCCTGAAAATTTTTGAGAAATGTTCTCAAATTTTGGCAGTCTCACAACTGAATCTTGAGTCTATGCTAAGCTTTCGATGTATCTACATAATGGATTATATGATTTTTTTAAAGATATGTACTTCGACTACTTGTAAATGATAACAATTTGCAATAAAAACTTCTCGGTTTACTCTCTGTGTCGCCGACTGATTTTTTTGGTTTAAATGTACCGACATCAATAGTGGAAAATTCAAACTAACCCGCATTATCCTCTCATCAGTGACACTGTCCCAAGTAAAAAATATCATTTCATTACTGGCAAGCGAATCCATCTTATGTCCTTTTTGACCGAAATTCACAGGAACCTATAAAACCAATTAAAGTCACGATAATCGATTCTAGATCATTCAAACCTACGTTGAGGTCGTTCATAATGCAGACAGGAGCCATACCGGGTTGGAAAGGTGTCAGGTGTACAGCCACAGACGATTCTGATGTAGTCACACAGACTTCAACACCTATGTTGTCGTTGTCAATCTAAAAGAGGGTCATTGAATAAGGATAAAATTTTGTTACGAAATGTGTGGCTGCACTCTATTACCTGACAAAGTGTATCAAAGTTCTCTGTGATCGGAAACAAGAGAGACTCCTGCTGTTGCCCTGTATATCTAGCACAAAGGAATTTCCGCTTCGACTTTTGGATGGGCCATATTCCTATGCACTGAAAAACCGATTACGTTATTGTCGTCAAAACATTGGAAAGCACCCACCTTCTCTGCAGGTACATCCACCCATGCTGATTGTCCTTCTTCTCTGACTTGCATATCCCATTTGCCAAGATTGGACACAAGATAGAAGGGATTGAAAGTGACAATTTTCGTCAGACCAGATGAACAAAGTTTGATATCCACGGTGAGCTATAACAACGTCTATGCGATAGAATAAATATGTAAAGTAGACACGATTATGAAAAACGATGATAAGAATTTCAGGAGAGGGACTTACCTCGAAATCCCTGTCCTTTCCTTTACATGTTATTCGAGCTGGATTTCCTACAGTGTCGAGCGGAAACTCTTCAGACCATGCCCCAGCTTCTTCCACCAAGACTCGAGACTAAAGTGACAAAATCAATGTTGGCTCGAAATAGCTCAGGTTGAAAAATAAAAAATTCTAGACTCCATAAAAGTTTTGAAAAAAGTATTATCGCTTAGACAGACCTTCTTCTTCTTACTGAAGTCCGTACTAGGGAATGGCAGTATCAGGGGATTTTCATCTGGTAGGTGCTTGACAGCGTATTCAGCCTCCTAAAATTCTATATTCAGTGTAACAAGTGGATAGAAGGCGAAGCATATATGAGCGCGAAAGTTCCACGACACAAGCAGCTACTAAAGCTACAGAATACAACATTGAAAAGCATTTGCGTGCTAAAGACATGACTAGTGTTATAGAATAGAGACATGCTACATGCAATCTGTGACTACTCGCAAACCACCAACTCAACTCCAGCTCGGGGTCGGGGTCAACATGATGTGGGCGCTATAAAAAGAAGAAATTAACAGTGGCTTAGGACTGTTGCGAAAAATTTACAGCCCGCAGAAGGCCCCGACTCCTGTGCAACGCTAAGCACTAGCCAAGATATCGTTACGGCCGATGAATCTCAAACAGAAGTGAAAGGGGGATGTTATCGGTCATGGATCAATATTTGATCGCACTGTGTTTTTGTTCACCTGTTGGGTAGGATGGGCCTTTCTGCAGGGCATACACTGAGTCGAATTTCGCAGCAAGTTTCCTCCGCTTTCCTATAACCTCGGAAGGAAAACAGTGAAAATTACGTGCTCTTTAGGGATACTACACATGCTGCTAAGATAATGTAATATAATCAAAATACACTGCGCCCACCATGTGCTTCAACGTCATAGAGGTATTGTTGACCAGCCAAAATGGTGCATACAGATATGCTTTCAGATCTCCATACTCCGTACTCCAATGCAAACCAAGTAACTGTAACGGAAAAATCTTGACATGCCTTTTCCCACTCTCTAAAGTCTTACCAGCTCAGCCGAACCCGTATCCGTATTCAAGGCAACCACTTGTAGCTCCGGCTTGTCTTCGGGAATAGTCATATCCAACGAATACATTTCGCCCAAGTATGGCGCCTGAAACCACCATCATAATTCGAGATACAGAAGCTACTAAAAACAGACTTACCCATAGTCGCATACGATGCCCTGGTACCATGTTGAGCTGAATGCTCTGACCTGGTTCTAAATCCATAGCCACGGGAATTTCGAAGGTGATAGGGAATGGAAGTACGTTATGGAATTGCAAGGGTGGGTACAAATGGACTGAATACACTTCCGTCTCCTTATCGACACCTGAACTACGTGATGGTCACAGCTTTCATCTTTACCGTTTGCGCAATCAACATGCGCAGACTGTAAAGCGTAATGCTCCGACTCTTTCAGTTTGTCCTGGAAGTAAAAATTTCATCGGAAACCTTACCTTCTCGGACTTTTTCCTCCAGAACAACCGTCTCGAAAAAGTAGCCTTGTGTGGTATCTTCACTTAGATCACATCGGATCACTTGTCGCATCTGGTGCGTAAATTGATGCCATGTCAGCGACTCAAAGCTGACTTCACATCTAGAACTAAACGATGCACAAAACAATTACAACGATTAGAAACAGCAAATTAGGGTAACAAATAGACTGAGATGCTGGATTGCAAGGGGACAAAAAGTATATGCCAACAGAAAAGATGCAAAATCTTACTTGTCATTAGCAGGTCTGAAGAAGATTTCCCCAGTAGCTGAAAATAGCAGTGGGACTACTAGATGCAAAGTTTCTCCCGGAGACACTGTTCCAAACAGGTCCAAATTAGTATTGTTCTTTGAATAAAGCTCCATCGGTACGTCCAAATGGTTTGTTACACTGACATGCGATGTAAATGTTATCAAGCGACGACCATTTTCAATAGTTGTCTCGGCAATAATCTGGAACTATATGATGGGAGAAGCAGAAAAGATAAACTGCCCATACCTTCCATTGTTTTCCACCATCGCTCTTCTTCGGCAATGGTACAGCGACTTTACCCGCACGACCAATCTTTATGTTTCGAACAGTGTCAAGGAGGTTGATGCGTAGATCAGCAGAGAGTTCAGTTTGATTGCTGCTAAGACGCTCTTTGGCTTGCTAAATGGAAGAAGGGCATCATTAGTCAAAAAAGAAGCTAGGGTAGAATCAACTTACAGATTCAGCAGCGACCGCAGCTGCTTCTTTGTTCATACGAAGGTCTACAAATCGTCCATGAGGTGCTTCTACATCTTCACCGTTTAAGCTCACCTAATTGGCAACTTTTGGAATACAAAAGTCAGTAAACTCCGTTACCTGTAAGGTGTCAGAATCGCTCATCTTGATAATTATGCCACTTTCATTCAAGACGAGAAAAGCAGAGCTTCCAGGAAGCTGGCGAGTTGTGGGTGGACTAATTTGCTTAGCAGCGTGAGCGAAAGCCTAGAACCAATAGGTGACAACATGATACACTTCTTCAAGACAAACTCACCTCGGACACTTTATTCAACAAGCTAAGGAGGGATCTTGTGACGGTCACATTCAAAATATCCTCTGCATCAATTTTTACATCCATACCGGGACTGTTATCCAAAGGATCCATCTTATTTCTTCCTTTCACCTAGCAAATTCATTTCAAAAGGTGGAAAATTTTATACGTCACTCACAGTCATTGTAAGATTCCAAGGGCCCCATTTGTCCGTGCCGACTTCTACAGGTTCAATGACTGGCTCCCAAACACTGAAAATGCAGCGATCCAAACAAATTCTATAGAAACTTAGTAAAAATAATAACAATGGGAAATCAATTTGAAAAAAAAAGCTAGCAGCCCACTTTACCTCGAAGCTTCATTGTAGTAGGACATCTGGAGAGAAAGATCAGCTGAAGCTCGCAGAGCAGACGACCATCCTGATGCCTCCGCGTTTACCAGTATTTGCATAAAGATGAGTGGTACAGGCACCTGAAAGGAAGTGAATCCTAGATGTAACACGAACTGTGCGCAATATTAAACATACAGAACTGTCTCCAGATTCAAGCGTAAAGTTGATCCTTTCCATTTCTACGTGAGCATGTTCTATAGGAGCACGCTTCGTGACTGCTTTATCGGCGGCATCGTCTATATTGTCCTCGCATGCCTCTTCTGCTGTAGGTGCCAGGAAAAACCAATATCTGCGAATAAAGAAACTCAGGCAGATACTTGAGTGATGAAAGCTGAGACAAACTTTCTCTTGTCGAAACGCCTAGGCTTCCAATATTGTGGAAATGAACGAAGCTTGGGAGTGAGCGAACTACCATCCGTCCGATCCTTGAATGAAGAACGCGAGATAAACTACAGCTTTTGTAGGGCTAATATGATACTTACAGAAGCACTGCTGCTGGCAAACTCCATATTGACAGCCGACAGCAGCCGAATGATTGATGGAGACATACGCAATTCCATTGGTGAGATTTTCAACACAACATCTGTTGCCTTTGTTGCATTTTCTATCTTCATCTCAATTCCAATATTCATTGGTTTCAAAACCTAAAATAATAAACCGAGTGAATCACCTCGCGATTCGTTGAATATTTGAGAAATGTTTTTGCGCATTTTGCAGAGCGAATACTTAACACAGAGATAGTAGAGATTACATACGCAGAGATCCAACGCAATGAGACATGCAAAATTCTGTTATAAGAACAAAGAAATCAAGTAATTAAGATAAAACGTAAGAACTAAGCCTCGAGCTTCTGCGCTAGCATTCGTCATAGGACATACCTCATAAGTGATCTCATTCCTTCTTTCTGGGGCATAGTATGAACTATACACTGCCAGATCCTCAATCCCACCGCTCATGACTTGCGTAGCGGGAGACTGAAAATTCTCAATGCACACACAAAAATAGCACAGAACAATTTGCTACCGGAGTGGCGACCATTCTCATATTGAAAGTCAAGATCAAGGCTTGCGAATCCTCAGGGTTCAACGAGCTTTCAACCAATATGACTTCAACTCCCTAGAAAAACATCTACTACGACAAGCAGTTCGAGAATTCTTCAAAGCAACATTTGTTGTCAAACAAACAAAAAACAATATATCAACTCAAAACTGATTGATAATCTAACCTGCATATCACAATCGAGGACAATGCTTGGCGGAGGAGCTTCGGGATCCACCGCAGCATCCCCTCCTCCAGCCGCCTGTGTGGAAACCGTTTTCTGCGGTCCAACTGCTTTGACTTCAGCTTCGATTTGCAGATCTTCCTCGGACTTATCAACGGTGAAAAACTTTGACAAGCATCCCAAGAACTCTGGGGCAAGAATGATGAAGAACGCCGACATTTTCAGCTTCACTAAATAAATCGGGTAAACTCCGAAGCTCCTTCGATAAATACCTTACCATTCTTGTTCTGCTGTGCATCCTGACTAAAGGCCAATGCAAGGAATCGTTCGTCTTGTTTTTGACTCTTTTTGTCAAGCAGCTGAGGGATCTTAGTTTTACCACGACGTTCATCCGTCATTGTGAAAGTGTTCAGAGATATTGCCACGTTCATGTGATTGTCCTCCTTTAAGCAAAAAGTTTAACGCTAAAATTTTAGAGTGGCGAAGACCTACCTTGATTGCGCCACTAAGTTTCAGACCTTGTAATCTCATTGCAGCAAAAGCATCTGCAGGGTTCCTATTTGACTGATCTTCTCCACCCCCTGAAGTCGCTTTTATTAATCATAAACGAGGTGAATTAACCAATAGATAAATCTTAATCCAATCTTTCATAAGTAGAGACAGGAAAGTGGCTGATTAAAATATTGTAAATAGATACTGAGTATATTGTATGTCTACATAAATAGACGACAACTTACCCATGTACAAGATGGCAACGATCTTATCCAGCGTAAACTGGAACACAATTCTTGACATCGGCACAGTTGGAGTGATAGATGTAGGAGACACAGGTCTTGGTGAAGCCGACTCTTTCTTCTGTGTTTTCTTCCTCTCTAGCTGCAGCTGGAAATAAGATATTGGCAAAAATTGAGATTATCGTTGCGGGTCAAATAACCTTATCCGTTTCTTGTGTGTCTTTCGTAGGTTCTTCTCTCAACGCAGCATCTGGCACAGTAGCAGGGCACATCTCAGGAGGTGATGTTTTGGCTAGTTCGGCACCTTCGGCAAGATTTCCGCTCAGCGTCTGAATCAAAAAGGTATGGGTTGTCCATCCTATATCTCAACTCTCAATACCTGCATTATAGTATTGTAGTCATGTTCGGACATACTCAGCGCCAATGATGGGATTTGAGCGTCAACCGCGAGTTCCGGCAAGTCTTTGACTGTGCCAAACACGAGGTTTCTGGAAAGCAAGCTCTTATGACATCATCTGGATCTAATTGATAATTAATCACCTGTGCACAATGATGTTGAAAGAGAGTGGTTCAAGAATCTCGCATGACGTCTGCACATCTGATGCGTCTTCATTTACTCGCCCTCTATAAACAAGATCAATCTGGTGAGTACGATATATTGCAGAAGATATAGAAACGGACAGACATTCCAAAGTTCATATCCAAAAGTTTGACTTCCATTCGATCCATTATTAGCTTTTGATTCCGCTTATCTCCAGTTATGTGGTTGTTTACTATGAGTTTACCTAAAAGAGAAGTATAGTTCTGATCAAGAGTTTATATTCCACATGCTACATAAACGGATTATTTTTGGACCTTAAATGAGAGACTCGGCGGTTTTAGCGCAAAGCAAGATAAGATGTTCAATAAGTTCCAGAGACCGCTTTTCTAAGTCTACTTTCCGTATGGGAATTCATGTTTCAAAGCCTGACCATGAATTTCACTAAATAAAAAAAGTCAGACAAAATAGTCGTTGGTGCAGTAGTTAAAAAGCAGCTTAATTTTAATTCAAGTCCGGAGTGAAACTGACCTAAAATTACGACGATAGCATTATGACTTTGGGAATGTTGCGGAACCAGAATGATAGGCGCTTCTAGCTGAACATCTAGTTGTATCCGGGGAGGTGATTCAACCAATATCTGCTTGACATTCTCAGCAGCTTCTGCGGCTTTCTCGGAGGCAGCCTGGTAAATTTAAGGCATTATTCTGATAGTGTAGTGTTAAAGTTAGTTATACTCTGTAAAATAAACAAAGTGAATTCGATCTGAAACTGACCGCTTGCGCAGCTGCAGCGGCACGCGCGGCTTCAGCTTGGAAGGGCGCCATCCATGCCATAAGTCGACTCAGCCACAGATTCAAAAACACAAACTGCATCTGCGCCAACCGCACCTGAAGAAAGTGCAGTATGCTTGATACCTTATAAAGCATCCTTGGGAGATTTCACCTTCACAGCCATGTCAATATCACTGGGTAACATTGCCTGCTTTTCCTTATCAGTTCGTTGGTACTGTATCATCTCAAATCTCAACATCTCCTTGTCTCCAGTGACCGCCAATAGTTTCCTGAAAGGCTTGGAAATAAATATCACACACATAGGCCAGGTTACAAGCCATCTACTTGTACAGTGCTCCTTCAGTCATGTCCTCCATCTTCACAGTGTGCAAAGTAGCGAGAACATTCATAGCTTTCACAGTCATTTTGACGTCAGCTCGTATCTAAACAGGGAAATGATGATTTCGCAAAGGTTCGTTTGTAAATCTCTTCCAACATTTTCAATGGCGATCCAAGTGTCCAACGACTTCTCTGTTCCGATAGCAACAGCTAGGCTGCCTACACTAGCTTCCAATCTCATTTTCACAATGCGAGCAGCCAGCTCCTCTTCTTCTGCTTTGGACCTCTTCGTACGTCTCCTTCCAGTGATTGATGTCTGTCTTTGTAATTCGTCCCTTCCGGCCATGGAAGACATACTTAATAATTTTCATCGCTCTATATGTTAGCATGTAAATAAAAGAAAACACTCCGAAAGAAAACCAAAACAATGATTTTTGTTTTTATGCAAATAATCACCTTCCGCTGAGTTGACGACTCAGTTTTCGTGCTCCTTGTTCTATGGCTTGACTCACTGGCCTATCCGTATTATCCGTATCCTTCTGGAGGTCAGCTATTTCTTTCTGAACTTTCTCTCCAAACAGTTTTAGCTCCATCAAACCCTCCTGAAAAAATTGACATACATGTCGTAGTTTTTGGTGCTGCTATTGGTCACCTGATGTAGAGAGATTGTGAGTTTTCTAAATTTAAAATCTATATACTGTTCTGTAGAGTTGTACTCTGTTGCGAAGAATGGCGATTCTTTATTAGCCTGGAAGTAACTAGCAAGATTCTCAAAAAAAAAAACTCAGATGAATCCTACGTAAACGGCTAGCATCTAACATCCCGAGTTTGGATCTTTCAACAAAAACACACCTGCACGTATTTAAGCGTCATAAGCGCTCCTTCCTCTTCATCATTATCAATGAAATACAGACAATCACGCTTAGGATCTATAGACTTGAACATGGGCATCGATACCCTGATGGCTCCTAGCTAAAAAGTTTGTTACTGGTGCTTGTCCTCGCATACACCAATAACCGCACCTCTGCCTTGATGACCATATCAAAAGTGCGCATCTGGAGTTTACAGCCCATGCGAAGGATTGAGACCTCACATAACACATCGTTTTTTCGAGAAACGATAACACCGACCTATAACGAAGCAATATAGTTGGAGGAAGGAAAACTAATACTAGTAAAAAAACAATTTTTGCGAACTCTGCACTTTTGGAAAAACTTCAATAATTGGGTGCAGACCGCACTTAGGTCTTTCAGCGATAGCAACTGTTTCATACCTGATTGAGGCAAAGGTCCAACTCGACTTGTATCTGCTGTTCCGTGGTCTTCTTCTCACCTTCAACAACTCCTTCTTGAGGCGGTTGTTCATCTGACTCAATCTAAGAAGAGATATTTATACAACATATAAAAGTACATACAAAAATGACAAAAACTTACCTCTTGAACTTCCATGATCGTCTTCATCTTTGCGCGATCCTTTACTTTTATTTCTGTTGATTCCAAAATCTTCTCTTCTATTGCAACCGCTTCCATATCAGGTTCCGGACGCGGAATGGAAAGTAATAAACGAGTGAGTTCGAGCAAACGAATGTCAGAAATTCCAATCACAATATCGGGAAGTAATCCAATTACTCTCATTCTGAAAAAGAAAAAAGTTTAACTTTTTGTGGATTTTTTTATACCCACCTTGGCAATCTCAGATCATCTATCGAGCATTTATGAATCTGGATGTCCAGCCCAGTGGGCTTCAAGATATGCAATGGGCTTTCTTTGTCAGTCAAAGCCGCCCGACCTTCCGCAACGTTCTAAAAGTTAGATTTAGGTGGCAAACAAGTTCAGAACTCTCTAGTCTCACCTCAGCCAGTGCTACTACAACATTGCTGAGCTTGACGCGGAACTTGTCATAGGCCTTATCCATGAGTTGATGTAACTTATCCTGATGCGCCAGAGCATCCTGCAAAAAGTATGGGTCAAAGGCAGGAAAGGCGCTCAATACGTGGACTAAAATTAGGAACCAGATATCATCTTGAAGACAGAGATAAAAAATATTGCAACACATGAATGAGGTAATTTGTAAGCGATAAACATATTCAACATAATTGAAGATAATTAGAACAAAAAATACCAAAAATAAAAAAAACGGGTAGTACGCAAATGTAAAAATTATGTACGCCGAAGATAGATAAAAATTAAAAAAATAAATGAGTTGATATATATATATATATACACGTCAAAAAGGCATTCTCCTTATGACACTGTCTTCCCAACATAGAGATCATAGATTGAATGGCATCAGTAGAGATGTTGAACTTACCGGATCACTTTCTATGGTCGTGATGCTAAGCAGACCAAGATCGGCTAGAAGAGTTGGCTTATTCGCATCGTACACTCCACCTTCAGAGACGTATATGGTGGCAGGCTGTATTTGGATATCGAGCACGAGTCGAGATCTGTTTTCGACAGCGTGTGCAAGCCCAGTAACTGATCGAGCTTTTACCTTCAAGAATGTTAATCATCAAAAAACAATGAAAAAACCAAGATCCGAAGCAAAATAATAGATATTCTATAGATACCGTACCTCTTCGTATCGTGACATCGCGAGAGCAGTCAACTGGTTTAGCTTCACTGACTCCGGAGGTTTGAAGACCTATAATAAAACATGCAGATTCCTTGCAGAAGAGACCAGTTGCAAGCTTACATCCACAGCATTGTTCACTGCAGGGGCATGATATTTCAAGTTAACCGGAGCGATCGCAAGTTCTACGGATTGATCGTATTTTCCATGTAAAGGATTTGTGTCAACGCAAAGATAAAGCCATGGCTTTGAAGGATCGCGTACACGCAACATCTCTGCACCGCAGCCATCCATCCGAAGTTCTTGTATGGTGGACTTCAGACTAAAACGATTATATACTGCAGAAGAAAACCTGACAAAATTGTAAGAGACGTACTTCATCGCGTTGGCACTAGGCCGTTGCTCAACACCGGCTCTCAGATCCAAAAGGAATAAAGAAACAGCACCATCTACTATGACGGCAACCTTCAAAGTATGTAAGACTTTCTATGCCCCAAAAAGGCACAAAACGAAACGACGAATACAAACCTGTCCAAGACGGAAATCGAATTTATTTTCGACAAATTCTTTTGGATAATTTGTTGGAGGAATATTTTCCTGAAAAGCACAGCAGAAATATGCAAACAGAATAAAGAGCGTTGAGAAAAATCAAAGAAATAGCAAGAGATACCTGATAGTCAATGGCTTCAAACAACTTCGCCTTTTCTTCAGGTGTCATCGCTTCATTGAATTGATCAGCAAAGTCCTTTTTCTTCTCCGCATGTGGCTTTTCCTCACCGCCACCAAACCTATGGAAGAGCATAGCGTCGAAGCTAGAAGGCAAGTATTTTTCAAATACCAGCTCTTGCCCCATGCGAGCCATCCTTGCGGTTGATCTTCCACTCTTTTCAGCCCTTGTCGATCAACATCCATTTCTGCTTGTTGTCTAGCAATATTGACGTTGAAAACGTCCAATTGTTCTTCAGCTCTCTAAAACAATAATTTAACACTTTATGATATACACTATGAGAAAAAGTTCGATGTAAAATAAGCAGTCATCAAAAAAAAATAATTTTGAGTCACGACTGTCTCAGACCTTCACGATTTCGTCCACAGCAGAACCTGGACTCTTTTCAGTCAAAACTTCGACCCAGGCATCTCGATATTCCCTCAAGAGTTTTCGATGTGCTTGCATTCGAGGCCATGACCAGTTCTTGCGTCGTCGGCGTACCTTCTCTTCCAAAATGGAAGTGTACGCAAAATGCCACCTAAGCGTGAAATCATCATATTTGTTCCTATACTGTTTCTCTCACTAATTCAAACAGCGCAACATGCGCTGGTCCCTGTTACTAGCATTCTGATGCTTACGGTGTTATGATAGGTCATTTTAAACTGCATTTATAGATATTTGCGAAGAACCGACTCAAGGACTATGTAGTAAGCTGTCGCATACTTTGCTAACAAAACAATGACAAGTGCTAAGCTTGAATTCATTAAAAACTGTTTTGATGAAAAATTTTCTTCAGCAGAAAAAAATTGAGAACTTACCATTCTTTGTAATGACCTCTAAACTCGTTCAGATTGGGTCGATACTTCAAGTACTGAGTAGCAAGATTGAACCTGAATGGTATAACATTTAAACTGAAGTCGAAAATACAAACACCTACCTTTCTTGTGCCTCTAAAAACAGCAGAATATCCTGGTATTGGAATTTGCCAATAGCTAAGGCAAGAGTTTTCATATCAACAGAGAGATCAATCTGGAAGGAATCTATGCAGATGTAAAAGTAAAAAGGAAAAAAATTAGAAACCTTCGGAGTTTTCCAGTTAGTTCCATCACTCTCTGGTTTTTGATTCAACTTCAACTTTGCTTGCATCGAGATTGGCTCAAGAACTGAAAAATTGATAAGATATAACACTTACTACAAAGTGACAAGATTGCAAGAAAATTTTTACTCACTGTATTTGTAACCGGTTGGAGGGTTCCTTCCAGTGTGTATGGTGCCTTGAAGCTTTGTTCGAATTTCAGCTTTATCTTGAAGATCCGAAAACAACTCAGAACCCGAATTCCAGTACACCGATAAATTGTCCAATAAGACAAGTTTGTGGAATATTTTCACAATATCACGGTGGATGGTAGGGATCCAGTTTTCCGTGGTGGTCTAAAAGACGATACCTTTCAGTCCAGTTTGCTACATAAAACATCAATAAAATGAAATTTGCATTCCTCATGTAAGGTTTACCACTACGATTGGCGAAAAGTATACGCAGAGAATGATCATCGATCAACCCAGACAACGAAATCTTTTTGAGATCCATGAAAAGTTGAATCGTAGTTACTCGGCTGCCCTATGTCAGACAAGACTAATGCTAGTTGAAAGTCATGAAAAACATACGGCTAACAATCTACATAACATTGGTGGTCCGGAACGGTTTTTCGAAGGCTTTGAGGGGAGGGGGGAGGACGCGACTTTTGTGAATAAAACAATGTAACCCATAGGTGCGATGGGGTGAGCAAATGCTCACCCCCCCTTCACTTTCGAGGCCGGGCTACCCCCCCCCCCTTCACCTGGGACTGAGGAAAAAAAAATTTCAGGTGAGGAAGTAGTGCATGCGAAAATAAAAACTTATGTGATATAAAAAATACAATTTCAGGGAAATTTTGGAACGCAGAATTTAATGAACATAGTTGCGACAGAACAATACATGGACAATGGTCAATAGCAAATATTCAACAGCTTATGGCGCTGATGGACAGCTTATTTGGCATTTACACCTGTAGATAATGTGCTATGATTGTGATTTATTGTCGCAAATAAATTTATTGCGGTATATGGAGTGCAATAAACGAATTAAATGTTTAATTGTGCCGTTTGAAGCATTATAATTGTTGTAGTAATGAGATTAGTGTAGTTTGAGTCAAAGCAGTCTTTAACTGAGCTTTTCCATACAAGATGCAGAAAAAAATGGATCCTGAAGTGAATTTTTTGTCAATTAGGTTGCAAAAAAAATTAGGAAATTCAAAGTGTAATCATTGTTGCACATGAGTATGAACCTGGAAGATAACCGTCTAGGAGGATTGCACTCATGAAGAGCTTCCGATTGATATGTAGTATGCTGGCCTGGAACGACGTCGCCATGGAATCATCACTTTGCTAAAATTTAAAAAATCAAGATTTTCAAAATTATGTAACTCTTGTAAACAACACTGTATGTCGATGGGAAGGGTGTATATGGATTGCACTCATCAAGAGCTTCCGATTGATATGTAGTATGCTGGCCTGGAACGACGTCGCTATGGAATCATCAGTCTGCTGAAATGTAAAAAGTTGGATGAATTAAGGTTTTCAAAATTAAATAACTCTTGAAAATGATAACGAGTCTCGATGGGAAGGGTGTCTGTGGAATGTACTCATTATAAGCTTTCGATTGGTATACAAGAAGTTGGCATGAATGGAGTTCTTTATAGAAAAATCGTGCCTCAAAAAGACAAAATATCACGGTGCAAAAAATCGATTTTTTAAAAATAACTTTTGTATAAGTGAATGAATTAGGAAGGGAAGGGTGTAGGCGAACTGTACTCCTCAAGAGCTTTCGATTGATATATAATACATGGGGGGTCCATGCTGCTGAACCTCGGGAACAGGGGGTGAGCAAATTTGGCCGAAATGCTCAGCTCTCCTCACCTTATATCATTATCTCGCCGCTTGTAGGTGAGCATTTCGCCCGAATTTGCTCACCCCCTGTTCCCGAAGTCCAGCAGCATGAACCCCCCATGTATTATATATCAATCGAAAGCTCTTGAGGAGTACAGTTCGCCTACACCCTTCCCTTCCTAATTCATTCACTTATACAAAAGTTATTTTTAAAAAATCGATTTTTTGCACCGTGATATTTTGTCTTTTTGAGGCACGATTTTTCTATAAAGAACTCCATTCATGCCAACTTCTTGTATACCAATCGAAAGCTTATAATGAGTACATTCCACAGACACCCTTCCCATCGAGACTCGTTATCATTTTCAAGAGTTCTTTAATTTTGAAAACCTTAATTCATCCAACTTTTTACATTTCAGCAGACTGATGATTCCATAGCGACGTCGTTCCAGGCCAGCATACTACATATCAATCGGAAGCTCTTGATGAGTGCAATCCATATACACCCTTCCCATCGACATACAGTGTTGTTTACAAGAGTTACATAATTTTGAAAATCTTGATTTTTTAAATTTTAGCAAAGTGATGATTCCATGGCGACGTCGTTCCAGGCCAGCATACTACATATCAATCGGAAGCTCTTCATGAGTGCAATCCTCCTAGACGGTTATCTTCCAGGTTCATACTCATGTGCAACAATGATTACACTTTGAATTTCCTAATTTTTTTTGCAACCTAATTGACAAAAAATTCACTTCAGGATCCATTTTTTTCTGCATCTTGTATGGAAAAGCTCAGTTAAAGACTGCTTTGACTCAAACTACACTAATCTCATTACTACAACAATTATAATGCTTCAAACGGCACAATTAAACATTTAATTCGTTTATTGCACTCCATATACCGCAATAAATTTATTTGCGACAATAAATCACAATCATAGCACATTATCTACAGGTGTAAATGCCAAATAAGCTGTCCATCAGCGCCATAAGCTGTTGAATATTTGCTATTGACCATTGTCCATGTATTGTTCTGTCGCAACTATGTTCATTAAATTCTGCGTTCCATAATTTCCCTGAAATTGTATTTTTTATATCACATAAGTTTAAATTAAAGTTTAAATTACAAAATTATATGAAAAATAAACTAAAAATACAATATATCTTTACTATAATATAATATATACAAATAAAAAAAATACAAAAATCAAATTATGCAATCTCAGCAGAAATTATGTATACAAAATTCTATTAATTACAGAAATTATTAAAAAAATTTTTTGGAAGAAAATTCCCCCCCCCCCCGGTCGACGTCTTAAATTTTTACAATTCTCCCCCCCCCCCCCGGTCGACACCCTTCACTTTTGGGGGTCAAAATCAGCTGGGACACCCTTCACTTTGGAAAGACCCTGCTCACCCCATCGCACCTATGATGTAACCTAGCCATGCCCTCCAAAAAAACTTTTAAGATACCTTTGAAAAAAATTTTTGCGGGCCTGAATCCCAAAGATTTAGAAACAGTGGGCTTATCGAAAGCCACCCCTAAAATTTTCCTTCTTGAGAAAGAGACAATGAACTGTTAATACTAACCAAGACCATATCAAAAGTTCGGCTGCGGTCGCAGAAAACAGATGTGTAATGAGAATATAGTAGGTTATAAGAAATTCAAAACATCAATAAAATGAAAACAATTAAAGGTGGTTGTAAAAGTAGACTAAAGTGACTTTCATCTTGTACATGACACAGAAGAATCTCTACCTGGAAGTCCAGCTTTTCCAAAGTGACTCCAGCAACAAATGGTCGGTGTCTGTTCGTATACTTGTCTTCAAATCTAACATGAATGTTGCTAATGGAGACCTAAGAGACAAATTACTAGATTGGGTTTATTCCGTAGATCAAGAAGCAGTACCTGTAGATTTTTGATCACTTGCGTAACCATCTTCTCTACGAATGTGTCTTGGGTCGGATCTGGCGGCTTTCGGCGATTTTTGCGAGCTTCTTCGAGTCGAGCAAGAGTTTTCTGCTTGACCTCTGCGGCATTTTTCTTGGCCTAAAAATAAGGTCCGGCTTGGATGCAACAAGATTTGACAAGAAAGGATAGCAGAACTTCATCTGCAAACATACCTTCTCTTCGTTGTATACGACACCTTTATTAGGCACGACAATGAGGTACAGACCATCGATAGTAGCAATAACTGGTTCATTGTAAAGGTTCTTCCAAGGTATTTTTAGCACTAATGAGGATAAGTAGCCAAATTTCAATTTAACGGGGAGATCAAGATCATCTAGGGCGGTTTCCTTCACTTCGAGGTTTTCCAATTTCACATCACCTAAAAGAGAGATTTGAAAAAAAAGTGAAAAAAAAAACTAAAAAACTAGGGTTGGAGGCAAAACTCGGATTTTTCTAGAGAGGAATGAATAATGGCAGCGAGCAAAAGTAGACTGAATTTAGTACGTATCAAGCACAAACTTGCGAGGTGGCAGAAGGGTATGACAAGGGTAATTCAAGGTTATAAATGCTGCAACCCTGCAGCACAATATTTGCCGAATGCATAAGTAACATGTGCAAATGATATACCTCCCTTGCCCCTCACCCCTTCCAATAAGAGGGTGAGATGAAGAGGAATATGTGCCCCGGTTAAAAAAGCGAGCGATACTAATACTGATTATTAAAATAAAAACCACGCAGAAGATCAACATTTGATGAATCTCGAGTAGCAAAATTTACCTCCCCATATGCCGATATTGAGTTGTGACGCATCTAGGTTGTCGACAAAATCGCCAAGAAAGCGGTTGAGCAGATCGGCCACTAGGGACTCGAACACCATTGTGGTCAAGTCCCTTCACTAAGTCTCTAAAAATTATATGTTAAACCACCATGTCAAGGGAAACATACGGCGAAGATGTAAGCGGATGAAATAGATAGAGCAAAGAATAAAAAAAGACTTTGTTTAGTAGTCGACAGAAGTCAAAGCAATGCTTAGTCTACAAAATGGTAATACGAGCCGGATACAAATGAGTAAAGAGAACGCAGTTGTTTTTGAGATCTGCTACTACGCAATTGCACGACAACATACATGAGCTGCACACGGCATTTGAATTCTTCGTGTTATTTTGGCAGGAAGTGTTGTTTCCAGTGCCTCATTAACATTCAATCGATGCAAAAAAAGGATTTGTTTCCCAATGGAACTCGTTAAACGAACAGTGTCAGAGCATTGGTCACAAAGAAATGGCGATGGATAACATGAGAGCCACCGCAGGATGAGAAACAATGGAATAGTCGTAAAGTCATATAAATGTCTGTTTAATCGATAGTCTCTGCAACACCAATGCAGAAGAATGGCTCTATGAATAGAAATGCTCGCCTTGTATCGAGTATGTGTTTGTATATCGTTTTGGTATGTTTGATAGATGTAAATGTACACTATGTGCATAGTTGCTTGATAAGATAGCGAAGAAGTGCAAATTGGTAGCTTCCAGAGGAATGGATATGAAGAAGATCATTCAAGAACAGCGTGATTATTGGCATTCCACAGATGTCGTCTTGGAATTCCACAGTCATCCATTCTGAGACTAGATCATTCGAGAACACTCGACGAATGTTTGGTTGAAAGTTCGTGTCTGTCTTTCAACACGATATGGGACAAAACATGTTTGAACTTGCTGAGCAACTTGTTCAAAAACGTATAACTTGTGTATAAATTCTAGTCACAGAGGATGATATATAGATACGTGGTGATAGAGTGCTTTGAAAGCCATGCAAACTCTATCTAAACAAGTTAGGAACACTTTTACGCCATTTTCGGGGTTCACTGGCAAACCAAAGAACAAATTTGATCTCATTAACGAGTATGCTTCCCCCCATTCCATATGACACAGATGTCCCACATTTTCCAAATGATAGTGGACTCTAAAAGTCTCAATGCCTAAGAATTTGTAAGCCGATAGATACAGAGCTGACAGCATTTGCGCGTAAGAACTGGCCGTAGAGCACACTTTCCAAATTTCGCCCCCTTTGGATTCTTCACAAGCAAGTGTTGTCAGCAACGCATAAACTCGATATCACTCCTTTGGACAGCATGGAACAGCGATCTACAGCATGCACAGAGAAACTTTTGACATTCATTTTTGAGCAATAGTCGATTCGTTGACCGCACGGACTGGATATTACTGCGAAGCAGCGCCGCAAAGTATATAAAACTCTTGCCCAGTACAAATTCACCATTGTATACGTCGTGCCCTTGAAACATTTCAGCCGCGCCGCGCGTGGTCCGCAACGTTTGAGCAGTCCGTGCTGTCAACATCGACGATACTAAAGAACTCCACAAGCTTTGAACTTCAGCTGACACGGCACTGGCACGGGCATTCGGACCATGGAGGCAGGCTAAAAAATCATTGAATTCTGAGAGACATATTAGTATCATCTCTTGGAGTCGAAGTTATTGATACAACGTTTTCGAGCACAGGTTCAATCAAAAATTAGAAATCTGAGCGTTAAATTTCTGGTGAAAAGTCATACAAACGAGCTTCTGCTGGATCGATACGTAGCGCAGACATCGCCGGAGTAGTAGCGCGTTTGTGAAAAATTTCGCTCACTCGCTGAGATGTTTTTTCATGCACAAAAAAGATGAGAAAAAAGAGAGCGATGTGGTAGTGTGGTAGTAGTGTGCATGAATGGCAACTGTCATTCGTTGATTTCGGCTTGTACGCCATATAGCGAAAATGAAGCTTTGTAACATGAGTAATAGCCATTGAAGCTACTTTAGATTTTGGGCAAAACTTCACTACTATTCGGTCTGTTTTTGGACATGAAAAAATTCAAATGTAAAGAATCTATACTCGTTACAAAACACTATAGTGATCCCATATTTTCTCCCCATTCCGTGAATTTGCCTATTTAAGTTGAAGGTCGAAGTTTTTGCAGATAAATTGAATTACTGCTGAGTGAAATACAGGGTATCCAAGTTACGCTGCACAGTGAATTTGTTGAAATTGATCGAATCAAAAATTAAGTACATTGATTCATTGACTGATTTTTTGAAAAGTACTACATTGCTTTTTTGAAAAAGTTCCCAGAAATCAACTGAATTGAACTAGTTTCCTTCCTTTCTTCCCTTACAGTTGCAAAACCTTTTTCGTTTGGAGAATTGGGGAAGCAACTTTCATTCAACGAAAGGGCGTGCCTAATGCAAATAGTTCCGAAAACGCTATCAGAAGACTTTCAAATTCTTTGCATTCTACCTTGGAATCTTCAGAGAAGGGGGGTTCCGCCTGCCATAGTTCGGATCTTTTTCTTAGAAAGCTATTTTTTGATTTGTGAAAAAATATAACTGTTCATGAGAAAGAATTACATGCATTCCTGCCTTTTCCATCCCTGATTCCGCTAATCGCGTTAGTCTCTGCCGATAAGGTCGCATTTTTTAGCAGGGGAAGTAAGTGTACCAAGCTAATTGTAAGAAATCTGCAAGCAATTATGACAATGGCTTCTATTGAATCTTCAAAAATCAATAAGTCAGCTATCATAAAATGGGAAGAGATGGTTAGATGAACTTTGCGGCTGCGATTATTGGACACGGCTGCCTAGACGGCGTAAACATTTTTTATCAGCAGCGCTCTCCTATCAGTTCACTCTCGCTGCAATTTATCAAAAGTGCGAAAAACAACACATAAAATAGAATGAGAGCATAGAGAGTTTTTGGGGTGGGAAGAAAAATTGTCCCAGTTAGCCTGCGAGGGAGGCAAAAAATGAACGAACGAGGTAATTGGTAGAACGAGGAGAGCATGTGGGGTGAACAATTGCACCTCAACGGGGAAGAGCGCAGTGTACGTGGTGAAGTAGTTCAAGTTTTTCTTACTCGAGGAAAAAAAAGCTCACAGGAGAGGAAAACTGCGAAATTACCCGGCCTTGTGGGGGAGGCCAGTCTCGTGGGACTTGTCATTTCCAGACGAGCAATCTTCCTCAAGACTTTTTCGTTGAGATATGCGCTATAATATTCCCAGATGAATGTTTGCTTCTCATACTCAATAATGCCTAAGTTAAGCGAAGCGTTAGAAAAGGAAAATAATTTAAGAAAAATATTCAAAAAAGATATAAGTTCAGCTCTGAGCGCTGCAAAGGAGCCATAGTCAGGGCTCGGCACGAGGTGGCTAGATGAAAATGGAAAAAACGAAGTCCCCCTTGACTTTTGGGAATTTTTACGAAGTCCCCTTTGACCCTCAACCAAATTTCCTCTAAAAACCTTTCCCCAAAATCCCCCAAAAAACGAAACGTCGACTAAAAAAAAGGTCGCCGTCGCTAATTTTCCGTGTCTCTTCGGTCACAAAAACGAAACCCCCTTTGCTTTTCGTCCCAAAAACGATATCCAGCTTGCTTGTAAGCCACCTCGTGCCGAGCCCTGGCCATAGTGAAGGTTACCCTAAAGCATCTGTTTGCTGCAGTGGCACAGAAACCCAATTTTTTAACAAATGCATCTGCCTGGATGATCTCATTAACAATGGAATACCCAGCACAGAAAAAAAATTATTTATGGCCTGGCACGCATTACATCTTACGATGTGAACACCATATGTCTTGTCAATCAATCCGGAGCCCTTCATCTTCAAAATATTTTTAGTGCACCATTAATCGAACCGGACCAACTTTCTAGTAATGCACATAGATAATTCGAGCGTTAATAGCTTGTGAGGGTTCGTATGATGGCCTACATGGCTTAGTCGTGAAACTATTGTTTTTAATAGGAATTACAGTTGTAGAGGGATGAAAGGAAGCGTCCAACATCGTCACAAAGAAGACTGGAAAACGACAACGAAACAGCTGAACTGAGAGCAGGCGGAACGGAAGAAACGAGAAAACGGGACGTTGTTTTATCTTTCCAGTAAAAAACTTCAGCGCAAATAGAACGCACGCTACGAGGACCAAATAAGGGATCAAACCTCAACGAACATCCGAGTGAGCAGCACAGCATCGATTCGTGCAATGAGCGGTTGACATAGCGTCCGAAATAAACTAATTAGCACTAGATAGAGAGACTGAGTAACAAAAACAGGGTGTCCAAGTAAAAAGGTTGATTAAGGAAAATTCCTAGGTAGTTACAGTAGTCATGGTGGAAAAACAAAAAATGTGGGTAACGACAAAAACTCAACTTTTTTGAAAAGTTGTCATGCACTTTATGAACAATGCTGAGATGTTTTTGGTTACTCCTGCATGATGGTTAAATGGATCTGGATTTTTATTTTGATACATACTTCACTCGATTTGGAACAGATGACCATTTTGGATTTGTCATCAAAATAATTTGGGACCAATAACAAGACAAGAATTTAAAAAACCAAAAAGTACATCCAGAGGATTTCTTTGAAAAAAAGGTTATTTTTCTCTTGCTGGTGTAGGCAAATCTACAAAAATACCGTAGCGCTATTACCTCGTACATCAAAAATTGAATCATTTTATGGTTTGAAATAAAAAAACCGGCGAGGTTTGCTCGAATCTACGGTTGATGCAAGTGCTCAAATAAGAATTTGAAATGAATTATAGTACGAATAAAGACAAAATATATGAAAGAAATTTTCCACACTTTTTAGATAGAAATACTGCCAAGTCCACGTCTTAATTTCTCGTTGAAAAAAAATTTCAGTCAATAATCTTTATGCTTTATACTGATTTATTCCAGTGTAGCATTTAGACTTTTGTAGCGCTGTAGTATAAGAGTATCTTGGACAGTCTCAACACTCTCCTGGTATTGACGACATGTATAGGCGATCCATCGCACGCAGAGACAAGCACCAGTACAGACGCTGTCTGCGTCTCTCACATCAAACGCACTTTCATTCCCCTAATCGCCCGCTGGCTCTCCCTAACACGTACCATCTTGATCGGCAACGGCGTCCAGTCTCTGATTGCGATAAATTGCGTATAGCTTCATGCATTCGCACAATATTACGAATCTTCAAAATTTAAAGTAATGATGGATCAATCCAGCGCTCATCCCAACGAGAAAAATGGTAATCCCCTCAAATATTCACTCCGATGCAGGCAAATAATGAGTCAGCAACGGAGAACGTACAAAACTCTGGTTTGAAATGAATGTTTGGTGCCGTGTCGGCTGCAAAAACTAAACGCAGGGTGTAATGGAAGGGGCAGCACGATTCACGCGATTCACAGACACTCATACTTTTTCACGGCGATGAATCAATAAGTCGGACGAGGAGAAATATTCCAAAAGATTCTTAGAAAGAAAATGGTGGTTCTAAAGACGTTGAGATAAGCTATCTTACACCTGTCTCAAAATAAGAAGTTTTTATTGTTATTGCAGTATTCATACAGAGAGGTGCGAAAGGACTGGCAATGAGTTCGACCAACCAAGTACCTAATTCTTCTAATACTCCGCTTTCTAAGTGAAAACTGCTGGATGGTGTAATAAAAGGTATTAGTATGAGGTTCATTACGTGACCCTGCAATGGACAAATATTTGTCCTCAAATGTCCCCTATACATTAGTCAACTATTCTATACATCATCTTCACTAGCAGATACAATCTGCTGCGCGGTCTTGTGATAGTTTCTTCAAGAATACCTAGAACTGAAACAAAATTTCAAAGAGGTAAAGAGGAGAAATTATGAGTGACCCAAACAATGAAGAAAACTGCGCTCACTTTGGTGGAGTGGAATATGCTACTTAGGTGAGGCTCTTCATAAGGTTAGTGAATGACGCACAGTTGAGAGCTAATGCGATTCTGACCAGAACAAGGTCTTATATGAGGTTTCGCGTGAGAAGAACGGCGATAAAAGTTATCTGCAGGCACTGAGAAAGAACCATTTGGCCCACTCAAAGCTTTACTTTCCAGAAGTTTTGCAGGGAGCGACCCGAATAAAGGACATTAAAACTAGGCTCGGCACGAGGTGGCTTTCCGAATATGAAAACGAAGTTCCATTTGACCCAAAATCAGAAACGGTGCAAAGAAAACGGAAAGAAGAAGATACGCAAGAAAACCGCAATATTTTCTTTGCTTTTTGTCCCAAGAATGATATACAGTCACTTATAAGCCACCTGTGCCGAGCCCCGATTAAATCATACTCATTTTCTGAGTGCTAACTACTGGTCTTTTAGTCCAACACTGACACAGTCATCAAGAACCCTCTCTAAGCCACTAATAAAGGTTAAGATATGGAGTTTAAAATAGCTTTTTATCTGCCACGCTAAAGTTCAGATTCTACAGCTTCCTGCTGTGGGACAAGTCACGTACAAAGTAGAATGGACACGCTGGAGACGAAGAAAACGACTAAAGAAAAGAGATAATACCCTAAAATCTTACAGATTAGTCCGCTTTTTTGACAAAAAAATCGACGAGAATGACCCTTGCAACGCCAACAGTCTTGCAGATAAGTCCTTCCATCAGATAATCCGTCTACAGATAAGTCCAGACTTATCTGACAAGATTCAGGGTAATTAATGGAAGGAAAACGGACTTATCTATAAGCGAACTTATCTGAAGGGCCTTAACTGAGTCAAAAAGCGAACCTATCTGAAGGCGGACTTATCTGTAGACGGACTTATCTGATGGGGGGATTTATCTGTGAGATTTTAGGGTATACTGTTCTGATAATACGCGCTTATATTTGAAATATCGTAAAACCTCTAAGACTTGCAGTTAGGGCTCAAAATTAGCGTCATGAAGAAGAATATCATATCAAAGTCAATCAATTATATAAATCCAATGGTCAAGCAGATATTTTCAAGTGTGATTATTTAGCCTCAAGACAACATCAGTGCGAGCAAGTATTCAGACGGAGAACGTTAGACTTCAAATGCGGAAGCAAGCAAAAATCAGGAAACTGGTTGCAGCCAAAAAAGGAAGGGTCTCGAGCATTTGCAGAGGATTCGAGCGTTCTGTGCTTCGCAATAAAGTAAAAGCAAAACACATCACGGACGCTATTACCCATGATAACACAGCGAAAGCGATAGGAAGAGAAAAAAGTTTATTCTAAGCACAAAGGAACAGTCAATGAGAGTGATTTGGAATTGCTTCTATACAGGTAAGAAGCAACGCGTCTTTAGTCAAAGTATCGATTTTTACATCTATCTTCTCGTGACTTCCGATGGTGAAAATTTGCAGAGCTTATGCTGATGCTGGAACAAAATTACAATACAGAAACATTTTATATACTTTGATTTTTTTTGCAGTGACTGATAACGGGACCACGCTTGACATAATTTTTGGGTCTGTACGTTACCGTCCAAGTATTTCATACTTCGAGGGTTTATCAGAATTGATGCAGATAGCAAGAATATTTTTGCACAGTCGACATAAAATAACAATTTGTCATGCTGATATTATCCACTAGTCGCTATTTTCATCAATAATATTCGTTTTTTGATTGGTAGCATCATTACCGATACTACTACCAAATTTTAAGAACTATAGTGTGATAGAGGACAACACTTTAGGGCATTTATTGAATTCAAGAACAATCTGTGTCAACTACGTACACCCACTTTCGTAGCAACTACGCATCCGCATCGCGCGGGCAATGCGTAGCGATCTTCAGCATGCAGCAGATTTGAACACTCAAGCAGTAAGCCCGCGAACACGTCTCGGGGCTCTAGCGTTGCGCTTGAGCTGATCGGAAAGAGAACATATCGTGACACAGTCTATATAATTGATGTGAAAACATAGGCAGTGTTGACCGCAACTGGCCTTACCAATCTCCTAATCTGATATGGAGCTGTTCTACCGTTATAAAAGAGCGCCCATCGCCTGATCGGGAGGTCGTATATTATCTAAAAGCCGTGCATCAGAGATTAGTAGCCGCCCTCTGGTGCCGAGATCATGATTTCGAAGAAGATACAATATGATATTTCAACTAAGAATATTGCAGCCATGGATTTATTGAGGGGGATCAGCGAAAATAAACAAAGGTCGTTGTATAATTTTTGAAAAGTATTTTCACGCAATGGTATCACAATGAAACAAAATCAATGTCAAATGTTTACGAGGCTAGCCACGGCAGCCTTGGCGCGAATACACCATCGAGCTGTCGCTCAAATTAGCGCCAAACCGACCGATGGCCTTGACTCCTCATCATAAAAGATACCCGAGAATTTCAAAGTTTTGAGAAAATGTGCAGGAAAACAGAGACGCGCCTGAATCAGACGGCTAGAATGAAGGATGAGTCAGGCGGAACATACGTGGCTGTAAAAAAATGGCAGCACACATGCGCTCAATAATGGGGACGAGCAAATAATAACAATCTGGTTATCGACTCGTTTGTTGAAACGGAGATTAGTAACTATGGACAAACAGAAGCGCATAGGGCAGTGAAATAGCGGGGCAGAGATTCCCTCTAACGAGCCTAGCCCCATCAGTTGCTGTCGAAAAACCATATCTTTCTTCCTAGATTTCTGCTATTGAAAGTGTCAATTCTCTTCAAATGTTCCTTTACATCTTCTCAAACGCTTGGACAAAAAGGTGAGAGAATATCGGTGAATGTTCTAGAAAATTGCATTTCATATGACGTAAACAAAGGCAAAGGAATGAGCCATAACATTGGTGCGTCATAAAAACGGTAGAATCGCATCACCTATTCATCGCGTTTCGAATTACATTTACCTTGCCTTTCTGAGTCAGAGCCATAAAAAACTAACACTACCGGGTTCCCCGTAGACAATCTGAATTGGTAGCGTTATTCTCTGAACAATCTGGGGTTGTTTGAATCGTATAACTGGTTTCTAAACAGCAGTTGTGTGATCCAACTTTTCTCTTTCTTGTGACTTCTCGTGACTCGTGAAAACGCAAAAAGGTTTGAACTCAATGCCCAAGCGTTTAAGATGGACAAGGGAGCTGCTCATTCACCATGCCAGCTGCTGCCAACTTTTTTCACTTGATGGGGCTTTTCTCTCAGACACGCGGAACAGCTGAGCGTAGGACTAATGGAATCCCCAGGGGACGATTTCAAGGAAAACACCTTGTCGAGGAAACTTGTTCGCCGGTTTTTTTGGTTATTCAGCATGTGGTAAGACTTTTTCAAACAATCACAGTCAAATCTGTCTCATCTTTACTAGTAATATAAATGTTCTATTAACCCGTATATTTCTTATGCTTTCACCTCTTGAAATACTGGTATCTGAACAAAAGTACAAATTTGGAGAAAATTCCTAAAAACTCACTGCATGTGTACAACTTTTATCTGGTAGAGCAGTATGTGAAAAATGGAAAGCAATGCAAAACCTAGATACCTTGTTGTCGTCAGTAATGGTCGTTTTTTTTTCTTGATATGCAATAGGAAACAAGCAAGTCTTATATCAAATAAAAAGAGGAATACATGGAGGATGATTTGAGAAAAGTATCTTCTACGAAGGACAACCCTTTAGTGATTTTGTACGATGTGCATGGAACGATTGTAGTGTTCATCTCATCATTTTGCGAAATGGCATCACTTCCGAAATGTACAGTGGAGCGAGTCGGTGGCGTGAGGATCATCATCATGTTTACAGAAACACCATAAAGCTATTGAGAAATAACATTAGAATGATGCATTATTGGTGGACATCCCGAATGATAGCATAAGGAAGCAGTTTTTACGTAACAAACCATACGATAATAACGTCTTGGAGCAATGTATTGTCTGTCCCCACGGAAAAATTGGAGACTGTGCAAAGCAGGTGTGTACCAGTTGCAATGCTTGAGCTGTCTAGTGCTACTAAGTTTATGCATAATTCTTGCACCAAAATTTTCGAAATTCTGTCACTTCATCCAGCTTCACGAATTCTGCTTTGATATATTAAGTTGTCCCAAAAGTAAACCGTATTTCTGAATTAACCAAATTGTATCTGTTTCTCTGGTAGACTTGGGGTACCACTCAATAGGGGGAAGCAAGTTCTACAAAATGACCACCAAAGAACTGTCTACTTCGCGATCCAGGTGAAATTTGGATCCGAAAATCAAAATTTTTTTGCTATCCTAAAAAAGATCTCCTTCCATAAAACTCCCACGGACTTCCAACTTGGTCTTTATATAGTAGACACATAGTAGTATCCAAAAATGTTCTTGGATGATTTTTTTCCGGAGCTCAAAAATGAGAAAAAAAAGATGTTCCGAAAATGCCAAAATGCCACTCTTTTCGGGTTTTTCATGTAAAACTTGGTATTTCTTCATTATAAGAGGACATACAGGAGCAAATAATCTCAATAATAATACTAACAAGGGAACGATACTCAATGTCCGTGGCCATTTGAGACGAGATGTATACCATTACACTCGCCTTCGAGCGCTGATTCCGAATCTGACTTCCGTTTCTGCTAATCGTTTCTCTGAAGGAAGTTATGGAGGAATTTCCAGCCAACTTTATATGTCCAAGGGTATGGTCACCAGAACGGCCTCTACCGGCGCCATGTTATTGTCTAGTGATTAGTGTGATAGCCTCATAACTTGATACAAGTGTAGGTTCAAATCCTTTTGTGTTTTTATTTTGCACTACCTCAATTAAAGTTGTTCGAGATTCACTCGAAATATGGTCATTCGATACATTTTAACGCAAATAGTAAATTTCCAAATTTCCACATTTTCTGAAGAGTAAGGGCGTTCAGTTAGCTCGAAGATGCGAATGAAGGTTTATTGAGGCAACGCAAAACTGAAAAACACAAAAGGATTCGAACCTACATCTGAATCAACTCATGGGCTAACCATTAGACCACAAAGCACCGTCATTGCTGCCGCTTTGAACATATTTCAGTGAACAGCCAAAGCCCGCACAATCCTTTACAACATCTTTGAAGCGATTAGCAGAAACGGAAGCCAGATTCGGAATCAGCGTTCCAAGACGAGTGTAATGGTGTACAACTAATCTCAAAAAGCCACGGACACCGAGTATCGTTTCCTTGTAAGTAAGGAGTTTGCCATTTTCAGACTATCTCTTTTTTCTCGCTTTCTAGCTCGGAAAAAAAATCCAGTAAAGGCATATCTGAGTACTACTATGTGTCGACTGTATAATGGCCAAATCTGAGTTCCGTACGATTATTCTTCGCAAAAATCCAATACAGGTAATAAATTTTGTTTTGATTTTTGCTAACTTTACCTGGATTACAACATAGGCGGATGTTTTGAGTCATCCTGAGCACTGCTTCACTCTGTCGAATAATACTCAAAGTTTACTAAGAGAACAAAAACAGTTTGATTTATTTAGAAATACGGTTTACTTTTGGGACAACCTAATACATAGAAAAAGGAAATCTTGCACTTTCTCAAGATGCTCGAGACAAAATTCGTCGAGGGCATTGCCAACGATATAAAGTGATCAAGAGAAAAACACAAAAAGTGATTTTTTGATTTCTGGTCACTTTTGCTAAACGTCTACTGGGATTTGAGTTTATTTTTAATCTTATTTTTGTTACGTACCCTTTTCGATAAGAGAAGATGGTAGTGGTTGGATGTATCTGCGACAGTTACGAATTTCGATTATTAAAAGTAACTTATTGATTTCGTTTCATACTGATTTTCTAAAATGCACTATAAAAGTGTACATTTGTCACACAAATATCCTTTGAATTGATTGATTTGTTTAAGCATTTTAAAAATTTTTTTCTATTGTTTGGTGTAGGAATTGTGCATCAACCTAACGCATAGATGAGAACGGTAGAATGCGAGCAGAACGAACACCTCAATTAGGCACCGCCTTCGCCTCAGAAATTAACTGTTGACTCGCGCTGAAGATCCGCCTCTTTTTGTGGGATTCGCAGAAAGAGCGTGGACATGCGCGAGACAATTTTTTGACAGATTTCCGGGATTGTCGCGAAAGGAATCACAAAATGATGACTAACTTCGCAAGAGTTTCGCAATAGTGACCTTGCTCTGCTTAGGCGTTAGCTATCGAGCATTTTTTCACACCATTCTTACTATTTACCATTCTCTTCACTTATCACTTCGCTTATCACCTCATAGTTTGTCGGCTTTGTCGTTTAGCTTCTTGAAATCAAATTTACATTCAATTTTACTTCAACTTTTGCAGCGAAACTTAGGCAACTGCTTGTCGTGGTCCCCGCTATTGTGCATCAGTATCCAATCACAGATAGTGGTGCCTTCAAATATGACTTTGCCTTATTATTAATCATCTCGCTAATTTTTTTTTGCAGGTAACTACACTCCCGGTGGGATTGTGCGCTAATGCGGCTTCCCCGTTTCCTCCCATTCTCTGACATTACTGATTGGTGGATATTTTTTTGCTGCGGCTGATTCAGCTGGGAGCAAGATCGTGGCAAACCATATCGTTCAGCAAGGTAAGATTTCCGCGGCACTGAGCTTATGCAAATTCTATTAAGATGTTGCATTAAGGCGCTGCTAATGATCCGTGGTTTTTCAATTTTTAGCTTTGGTTACAGCACACCTGATTTCGTTTTAATTGGGTGGAAATCTGCTGGTAGGCAGGTTGGTTTCAGTGCATTCCACACAATACTGCTTCATTTATAGCATTTTAGAGAGAGGATATTATCGCTGCTCAATCCGCGGAATCACCCCCAGAATCGCAATGGATGGAATAACGTTAAAATATTTTTGCATGAAAGTTTATAATAAATGCGTTGCTTACAACAACTGATGTAGGCGAAGTAGAAATGCACTTGAAAAATAACGCGCTCCGGCTGCAGCCGGACATTAGGATGTGACGCGCTTAACCGCATATCTCTTGCAAGGTTCTTGGGGCGCTAAAGCTTTGTCTCGTGCAGCATTGTCCCGACACGTGATGCTTTCTCAAAATATTATCGCGAAACCGATTGCTTGTGTCGCCCGTCATTCCGCGCTTACACAATTTGGGCTGCGCGAGTCAAAAGCGAATGACTGAGGCGCGGATGCTAGTCCTATCGTCCTAGTGTTGTGCATCGTGATCAGTGAGGTGTCCGTTCTTTCGCCCGGTAGAAGGCTAGGTACAAAGCTGAAAGAACATTTAGCAAGCAAAAGACGAGGATTAACATCAGTACCGTTGCAGACAAAAAGCTGAAAAACATGGCAAACATGATTGGAATACGATGCACTATATTACCATATGAGACTGAGATATGCGCAAAAAAGATTCTCGGGGCGTCGTGGATCTTTGCAAGAGATATAAAAATGAACGTAAAGAATAAATGCTTGTCGATTAAAGTGATCTCGTGCCGTGTACTCATTTTGTAATTTCACAGCCGCACATAAATTCTGGCTCATTGGGTGACATCCAGTGACGTCCGTTACTTCTCGGTTGTGCGGATCTATCAACATGCGGTGGATTGGGCTTTGCTCGTCTTACAATCTCAAAATTTCGCGCTGCTAGTCTCTGACTAGATGACCATTGGGCCTAGGGCATAGTGTTCACGATTCTGCAGCGCGGCGGTTTCTGTGAAACGACAGTTGTTGCGCACTCATTGCGACCCCTGTGTCCGCCACGGCGGTTGTGGTAAAGTTATCCGCTGCGACGGATCGCAAGCCCTTTTTGGCTAGGGCATAGTTCTCCGGCTATAATCGCTGCGATTTTGGCAGAACTCGGCGATGTCGCGTCGCGCGTGCTGCACCGGGGACGGGTCGATATCGCTGAGGTTGGAATGAGATTTGGAGAGTTTTTCATAGACATGCATTGATGTTTTAACTCGTTTTTGTTTGAAGAAAGAGAAAATCTTTGCGTAAGTAGTTGTGCGATGTTGGATGTCCCGTTTTCTATACAGATCTAAACTGATTTATTTCTGGTGCTTTTTTTGTGAGTAGTTGCTTTTTGCAAATCAAACTTGTAATTTGTCATTTCATTTCGCATGGATAGTCTCACGTTTTGCTATTTGCATAATTGCAGGAGAATTTCTGATACTGGTGCATCAGCACGAAACGGTTATGTTTGTATGTTTCCGCAGACTTCAAGCAGGGCCCGGCACGAGGTTGGCAAATGACGAGTTGGAAATCGTTTTGGGGTCAAAAAGCAAAGGAGATATCTTTACCGTGGAGTCCGGAGCGGAGCCTCGGGAAAAATTGGTAGTGCACGTTCTCTGCTTATCTTAACATGCCATGTGCCTCGACAGGCAAATACTAGAGTTCGCGCACGTCAAACCGCGCCGTCGCTAATTGCTGCCCGCGCGACTTCGCTCAATCGATGCGTTTTGGGACAGCATACATGAGTCAATGTATGCTCTCAATGTATGCATAACGATATGGCGCCAAATATAGTAAGCGAACGAATAGAGGCTAGTGGAAACAGAGTATGAAAAAGTATGAAAAACTTATGTGAATAAAAGGTGTAATAAGCGTTTTTTTTTTCAAAAATTTTGCATGATTGGTGAGTGAAGGTGTGAACAAATGACTCGTCTGCAACGCACGCAGATGACGGGTATGAAACTTGGAATGTACATGCACACGGACTTGCAGGGCTTAATTGAGAAGTTTCAATGAAAAATTATGTGACTGAAGGTTGTGGCAAACTTTTTTCTGAAAATTTCCTGCTACCAAAAAAAACGGAAAAATGGCTCGTTTGCAACGCAGAGGTACGAAATCGCGCGAGATTTGGTGTGTATATGCGCAGTAGGACTAAGTAACAAAGTATGAAAAACTATGAAAAACTTATATGAATGAAGAGCGTGCTCAACTTATTTCATTGACAACCTAATGACAACCTAAGGTTGGCAAAACTTCCAATTCACATAATTTCTTCAAAATTTTTGCATGAATATGCTCTACACCTAAAGCTTAGTATATCTAGACATTTTGGTTTCAAACCTCCCCCGCTCCTCATCGCTAGAGCCGAAAATAGCTTCAGCAGCCCCGTTTTTTGAAGAGGAAAGCGCGCTTCAATCGATAATCGTTAGAACGGCGTCCTTCACTCTTATAACCGGCGTTGCTTCAACATATCTTCATTCCTCTTACTTTCCCTTTCTGTTTTACATTTTTCTTTCTCGTGTTTCATCCATTCTAATGCAAACTGTTTTGCCATCGATTTTGGGTGCAATCGTTCGCAATGCGATGTGCAATCATTTCCTCTTTGATCCGCGCGCTCTGCAGCCAAGACTGCCAACTCTTTCTACTTTCATTTGCTAAATATTTTGCCCATTTTTTCGATAAAGCGTCTACAATCGCTTTTCTTCCCTACAGTTTTTGAGCTCAGTTATTTTGAGTACAATCTGTTTTTTGGCTTTTTTGGTTTTTTTGGTTTTTTCTTTTCATTTTTCACTTGACTGTCGCGGTTCCTCAGTTTTATGGGATACTTTTTTTCATTTAGGATAACGGCTACTGCCACGGAATGTTCTACGTCTGTCTGTGGTGGCAGATGGCGCTGATGCCTCGATTCCATCAAATAATCGCGACGTGATGTAAATCTTAGTTGAAGGCGTTCAGAGTCGGAATAGATCAGAGTATAAACTTTTTGGACATTTTGTGAATGAAAATTTTGTATTTTGGGGTGTTCACTTCGCAATCACTGGGACCACTTTCTAAGTCAAAGGGATATTCGTAAAAAATTTTGGGGTCAAAGGGGAATTCGTTTTCAAGAATCCCTTCGACAACCTCGTGCCGGGCCCTGACTTCAAGTGCTGTGCTCGAATTTTTTTTCTAGAAAGCTCTCCATGTAAGTTTCTGCTAGGCGCTACAAATGCCCACGTTATCTTTCCAAATGATTCTTTCCGATTGTTTCTTCCAAAAACTTAGCGACGAGTGTCCTAATTGTAGCTGTTAGCTTTCAAAGGGCAACATTCGTAGGCGAGATTTTGTCCAACAGTGGTAAGATTGTGTGAGATTGACTTGATGAGAGACGGACAAATGAAAACTTTTGTACTCGAATATCATTACGAGTGGCATGAGCAATGGTGGATGCTGAGAGTGAGTGAGCGGAATATCCCATGAGATCAGCATTTGTGCAAAGACATGGAATCGCGAGCACTATGCCCATGTCCTCGCGAAGAGCGATTTCGTCGTCGCGTTTTCATTTCCCAAACCATCGAAATCCTCGGCGATAATATTGAGACGACGAATCGCGAGAAATATGCCCGTTGTCTTTAGTTCTGGACTGGCGGGGTGGGACGGCACTTGGCGGTATAGTGACCAGATCAAAGAACCTATGACCTTCGTTCAGAGGCACCCGCCATACTTACCCCTCTTGATCCGTTTGATCCGCTTAATCCGCTTGATCTGCTTGATCCGCTTGATCCGCTTGCTCCGCTTCTTGCAGGACGCGTGTAAAACGCGCGCACTCAGCAGTCTGTCATTTGGCGCCGCGTAGGTAAAAAGCAATCCTGTATGGTTGAGAGAAGAAGTTAAATGCTCAAAATAACATACAGTACTCGGTTCCGCCGCACAGGCCTTCTTCGCAGGACCCACTAAAGTTTAGTACGAACTTCAGGCCGCTGAAGAACCAATGAAGCTCAAATCATTGTGGGTGTATTCACTACCATCGAGAAAGCATCTGCTCACTTGAAAGGAGGCGCTAAAAAGGTAGTCATCTCAGCTCCATCTGCAGATGCATATTCGTAATGGGTGTAAACCTCGAATACGATCCTGCCAGAAACCACATCATAGTAATGCTTCTTACACCACCAACTGTCTTGTTTTACTTGCTAAGGTTATCAACGACAACTTCACAATCATCGAAGGACTTATGACTACCGTCCACGCCACCACGGCAACGCAGAAAACAGTCGATGACCCATCTGGAAAGCACTATCGTGATGGACCTGGTGCAGGCCAGAATATTATCCTTGCATCTACCGGTGCTGCCAAGGCTGCTGGCAAGGTCATCCGCTTTGAACGGAGAACTTACTGGAATGGCCCACTCCTGATGTCTCAGTGGTCGATCTCACGTGCCGTCTGGAGAAAGGGCCCTCAATGGATGGCAGCCTCTGAGGGTCCAGTGAACGATATCTTGGGATACACAGAGGATCAGGTCGTGTCGAGTGACTTCGTCGGTGATCGCAACTCTTCACTCTTCGATGCGGAAGCTTGCATCTCTCTCAACCCCAATTTGAAAGCTGTCAAGCTTATTTCATGGTATGACAATGAGTTTGATCATTCATGCCGCGTTGTGGACCTCATTGCGTGCATTGCCTTGAAGGGCTAAGAAAGCGATGCTCCCGGCCCTCTCACTCTCAATGAAAGTCGTGGTTTTCCAGTGTTTCGGCTATGTTAGTTGCCACTCTCTCAATCGTACACTGCTTTATACAGATGTGTAGGGTCTCTTTCTACTTTATTTGTGTAGATTTATAGTTGCAACCACAATTCCAACAACTACATATATGTGCAAGAACTTGCTATACCTTTATCTGAATGTAGGGGGAAGTTTATCAGCTTCCTCAGCAGCTGATGGATATTATTCTCAATAACTTCGAGAGCTTCGGAAAATTTCACTCTTAGAAGTGTTTGTGTTCCATCCCAATGTCTACTTTTAGTGCTGCAGTGCCGTTCCGTAACCTGCAGGGCTTCAAAATCCGTTGCAAATAACTATTTATTTCCTTCTTGTAAAAGATGCATGGAATTTCTGATATTTGTCATAAAAAAAGGTTGTGTAGGGACCACGTTGGGCAAGAATACATCTTATCTAAAC